AATACATTTTTCAGCATAGGTAGACCAAATGTTTGGAAATGCATGTGTCTATAATAAGAAGATGGATCCACGAGGATGTCAACAATCCTGTGGGAGCCATCAGGAAAGTAGTATGATGAGTCAGGCAGTGATAGGTGATATCAGTGATAGGTTCAGCCACGACTCGAAGTCCAGAACTCAGGATAGAGGATCCAGGACCACAGCAACAGGATCAGCCACGACTCAGGGTACAGACAGATAGAAGAAGGAAGTGTCCCCCGACAGTCTAAGCCTATAGCAGCTAAACTAACGTGTCTACGTACATGCACTCCCTTAGGATAGGGTGAGGGATAAGGGGTAGCAAGTAAGAAGTGAGGAACAGGTGGAGAAGCACAACGTGTCTACGTACATGCACTCCCTTAGGATAGGTTGAGGGAAAAGGGTAGCAAGTAAGGAACAGAGGTGGAGAGGCACAACGTGTCTACGTACATGCACTCCCTTAGGATAGCGTGAGGGAAAAGAGTAGGAATTAAGATGTATGCGCCACCTCTACCATGAGCGCATTGCTCCTGAAAAGTTTTTTGGCACTGACGCCAATCAACAGTTGTGCGTCGACTCGGCAGGGATCAAGGCACGTATATGCCTCTCCCTGCTTCCACCGTCTACACACACAACCAAATTACATCTATACCAACGTGTCTACGTCAATGCACTCTTATTAGATTATTTTATCAAGTATAAGCTTTATCAAAAAGGAAGGTCTTAAGCGTACTCTTAAAAACAGATAGGCTGTCTGCTGCCCGAACACAAACTAGAAGCTGATTCCACAAAAGTGAAGCTTGATAAGAAAAGGCTCTGGCTCCCATTGTGCTTTTAGAGACTCAAGGAACAACCAACAACCCTGCATTCTTGGAACGCAATGCCCTTGTAAGACAGTAGGGTTTGTAGGCGAGAAGAATAATTTTAAATTCTATCCTGTGTTCTATAGGGAGCCAGAACTGGAGTAATGTGGTCCCTTTTCCGAACTCTAGTCAGTACACGTGCTGCAGCATTTTGAATTAGCTGAAGCGACTTAACTGACTTTTTTGATTTAAAGGTTTTATTTTGTCTTTCTTCAGCCCCTCGTGTATGACCAGCTATGCTCAAGCTGGAAAGAATAATGTTGAAGTGAAGAAATGCAAAGAGAAAGCCATCGTAAGTATTTGTTTCTCTTTAGTACACTGGTCTCAAAGCAAAGTTGTCAAAATGTTGTTAGTCTGATGGACTATTTATTCCATCAGGAGGAGCGGCGGGTTGTTTACGTTGGTCGCATTCGGGGGACGATGACCCAAAAAGAACTAAGAGAACGCTTCTCTTTTTTTGGCGAGATTGAAGAATGCACCCTGCACTTTAGAGACCAAGGGTACGTACATAAACAGCTTCTGTAATGGAGATGACTTTACTGTTAATATCTTAATATGGCTATAACGTTACATTGCACTGTCTTTGAACCTTGTTGGTCTCATCCATGACCTCTTAGGCCAAGCTACAGTGCTAAAGCAAATTCAGGCTTGTTCATAACTGGAGCCCCCTGGCAACACCCCCAGGTTGCTCTTTTAAATGCAAGTCACAGCTCAAACTACGTACAATAGCAATTTTGACCTTTACTAGACTTCAGACAAACTTAAAATGAATACAGGCTGATGGTTTGGTTATCTCTCACAGGGACAACTATGGGTTTGTGACTTATTACGACACCAAGAATGCATTCATGGCCATCGAGAATGGAAGCAAGCTACGCAAGTCCGATGAGCTTCCATTTGATCTCTGTTTTGGAGGAAGGAGACAGTTCTGCAAGTCAAACTATGCTGACCTGGGTAGGCATAAATCAACTGACACGAAGTTCCTGTAGCTCTTGCCAAGTTAATGTTAATCTATCAACATATTATTGATGTTGATTGTGATCATTACCATTTGAAGGGATCATCGCACTGCAGGTAGAAGCATACTGTCCTTAAAAGTGGATTACAATACACCAAAATAATACATTAATATATTGTATAACACTGGGTATTGAAACTGCCTCCTTCATGGCTTGCCAGCAGGGCTGTAGCAACTATTGAAGAGACACAGGTCATGTCCCCTTTATTGATTTTACAATTGTGCAGGTTATGCTGACCTGTTTTTTTTTGTGACATTTTAAATTAAACACACAATGCACATGATGGGTTTTTAAATGTTGATTCTGATGTTGGTTTTCTGATAAAGTGTATTCCTTATATACTTTGGAAATGTTGGGGGGAAATTATGATCCAATTTAAAATGGAATTGAAAGAATCATATTTTTCAGAGCTGGTCAAAGTTTAGGATGTGTTTTGCAGGTTGTATTTGGGCTTCAGCATTTATATAATCGACACTGTGGTGTCGAGTCTTTTTTTTTAAATCAAAGCTAACTTGTTTTTGGGTTTTTTCAGATTCGAGTAAGGATTACGATTCGTCGTCTGGGAAAGGCAAGTTTCAGACACTAGACTTCGACACTTTATTGAAGCAGGCCAAGCAGAATCAGAGGAGGTAACAGGAGGCCTGCAGCAGGAAGCAGCTGACACTTACCTCAGAGCCAACGGCTGGCTCCTCACCTGCAACACTGTCTTTACATTTATGTTGTTGCCTTAGTTTTATTTTGTTTGTTTTTATTTTGTTTCTCAAAGCTTACACCTTCTATTGAAGTGAAGATTTGTAATGAAAGTAGTAAAAAAAAAAAAAAAGGAATGAATCGAATTTAAATATTTTTTTTTAAAGTTTATTTAAATGTACAAATTTAAATTCTATTGAGAATCATTTTAAAAGGGTAAAAGTACATGGGATGGAGCTCTCCAATTACTGGGACAGGTTGTGTTACATTGAATGAATTGAATGTACTACGGACCTAAATAAAAAATAACCTAAAATACTTTGCTTGTTTTTCATTCCAACTGTCTGTATTCTTTAATTACAATATTGAGAGGTATCGGCCCTTTTCACATACAAGTTGTCATGTTCCAAGAAAATATAGGTGTAACAAATAAAACACTCAGGTTTCAGTATAAACACTGTTCTCTGCAAACATATTGACTGTAGAAAAGCACAGCTGAAACAAATTCTGTAAAGTGTCCAAGAGAGCTGGCATGTAAAATACCTGAGTCCTGCAACTGGTTTACCTTAATCTATAATTGATGTGAACGCTGAAAGTTTCAAATGTTTTTACGGTATTTGAATGAGATGCAAAATTGTCAGAGGTGCACCTCAGAATCAGAATACCTTTATTAGTCCCACAGAGGGGAAATGTATGTTACAGCCGAAAAAGAGCCACATACAACTTAAAGGTAGGGTAGGTAAGTTTGAGAAACCGGCTCGAGATACACTTTTTGTTATATTCCATGGAATGCTCTTAACATCCCGATAGCAATGAATATCTTAAGTGCTTTGACAAAAAATCCATAAAAGAATTTCATCTGTGGAAGCCGTAGTACTGTAAAAAGCACGACCAATCATTTTAGCCGGCCCGGCTAAAATAACTGGATGGCCTACCTGCCGGTCACACTTCCATCTGTGCACAAACTTATCTCGTGCCCTCATTGGTCATGTGCGCGTTCGTGTGTGTTGGAGGAGGGGCTCTGTAAGGAAGGGACAGATTTTTTCCGGCTGTGTATTTTCAAATTTTAGCGCACTCGGGCTGGTTTCTCCAAAATTACCTACCCCACCTTTAATGTTACATAATGTTACATGCATTAAAAAGTATTAATGTTATATCATCTTTGAGATTAACTCGCCTAGTAGTGAGAATCACCATGGAAACATTTGATGTGGATAGAAGCAGTAGATTTATATTGGCTTAATAGTAGTGTGACATTAGTGACACAAAGAAATACAATGAATATTTTCAGATGTTCTCTGATTATTCATATTGCCTGATTGAAACTCAAGTCAAACCTTTGTCGGTATTCTCCATCTATTCACATCTTTCATACATTAGTTTTGTGCAACTTTAAACGTTATGGGTAAAATCCCCCCTTTTCAATGATATTAAACCCATTCCAATGTATCCAACTATTCCTGCTACTTACATTCTTCTTGCTCAGTTTAGCAGTATTGTCCGCTTTTGCATGCAGCATTTACACAGCAATTTCTTCAGATATTTCATTCTCTAGTTATTAATCACATCTTTGCCTTTCCTTGTATAATATGAATATGCCAAAAGGGTCATTTTGGCTTACTGTCATGGGTTTCTGCTACACAGAATTTAGCATATTTTAATAATGTAAGGATTCATGGTGTTTGCTGTGAAAAGGGGTATTTGATAGAGCCTGCACTGGTTGCAAGATAATACGCATCACGCTTGCTCTGGGGACTTTGTTTGCTTTTTCAAAAGTTACTGGTAATTATGTCAAAATGTATTTGGATATATCCTGGCGATTTAGAACAAAGCAAACTGTGTTTTGCTAACGGGATACACAGACAGGCTCGGGTCATAACAGACGTGCAGCTCCTCCCCTTTGAATGGTTGGAGCTCACCTACACTCCTAATATGGACTGGAATCTAAAGATTTTAGAAAGCTGTTGAGATGTTCAACACATTCAATAAGAAGAGCAATTCAGAGAGCAATATCTGAGTTTAAGCTGCATGTTGAGGAGAACTGCAACAGTAAAACTCCAGGCTCATTTTAAACTCATTGAAGTTAACAGTGTTCTAAAAAAAACAAATAAGTTAGTCCGAGTACTTACCTCTGGTCGTTTTGTGACCATGTATCGTAATAAAGACATGTTTTACAAATGCTAATGGTGTCATTTTAACAAAGAAATGAAGGGCCCCTTAGTGGCAACACGAAGACACATGTTTACATTGATAACGTTATCCAAGTGTAGAGGCTTTAGCATTGCGGAGTAACAGTGTCATCTATCTCTTCGACATGCTAACATCTTTGTTGTGTTTTGTCACTCAGATCCAGTTTTGACTGGTTTAATCCTGTTCTGTGAGCATGCGCACTCGGTGTAAACAGGAAGAACCGAGTGGAAACCAGGGCACATCTACCATCAAGAGAAGAAAAATGATCGGACAAATACGAACGGAAGCCTTGTTTTTCATTATATATAAACCAACATATGCCACTTCATGATAATCTCGATTACAATTTGTAGAAGCAATTGCTAACTTTTCGATAATTTTGAAAGACTTGTTATTCCGTACCTTAGCTAACGTTAACGCCAGACAGACAGCAGCACGATTTATTTCCTGCAGGTAATGCTCGGCAAGTCTGTCTGCAAAACTACAGACAGAAAAATAACTCAGTGCTCTTAGGCAAACCGAGGCAAATATCTATAACAATGGTTCAAAAAGATAAGACGCTGGAGACTCCTCAAGTTGACGGTGAGCCGAGCCCCAGCCCAGTCTCCGGAGAGGCTCGTGCAGAGGCCGCCTGTCCGGTGGAAGAGTCCGGCATCGGAGTCGAACCGACGGGCAACAGGAAATTCATCTGCGGAGTCGTGGAAGGTAATATTGAATGTTGTCTGAAACAATCAAATTCGACACTTGATCCAGTGATGATTTGAACATGAACTAGGCGTTTCGTTGCGCAACCCTGTGTTGCAGAATGACAACAAACGAATATGGATCCCTACTATCATAGGGCATCAGCATGCTGCAGCAGCCCTGCTTCGTGGAGGAGAGGATGGTTGTCATCAATTGGAAATACAATCCATTAGTGTACAATCGGATAACACTTGGACATCGAGTGTGAATTGTCTTAAATACAAATGAAGGAGTGGTTAAAACCCTTCTTTATGTAACAAGGCATTATTTGTGCAGATTATAAATCAGTTGTGATCTATAATGAATGTTATATTATTCATTTTTGGCAGGTTGCACCATGAGGTGAATAATAATTTATTGTGTTTGCGTCATGTTATATATTATATATTTGTGTGGTTTGGCTTCCTATCAAACTGAATCAGTACATTCTTGGTAAGACCTAGTTTTGCCCTTATAAGTGAACCTAAGATGTCCATTTTTCATATTTTTTGACAATACATGGACAAAATGGTCTATTTGTGAGTCTGACCAACGGTAACTGACTGAATAAGAACAACATTCATGTCTTATTGCACTTCAATTCCAGCCTACACCTAAGGGCAAATAGTTCGAGGGGTATTGCATCTGAATGGGCTCTGAAATATAGTTTAATATAGCTCGTCAGACTGCATGAAACTGAATGTATTCTTTGCTAATGCAGGCTTTTACGGTCGACCATGGACTATGGAACAGAGGAAAGAGTTGTTCAGAAGGTATGATGAACTTTGATAATTCATTCATCTAATACCCATAATATTACAGCTTTATTATTTGAGTTGTTCTAATAAATATGTACAACATTGCATTTCACAGGCAGCAGAAATGGGGACTGAATACATACCTTTATGCCCCCAAAGATGACTACAAACACAGAATGTTCTGGAGAGAGATGTATTCAGTGGAAGAAGCAGGTGACTATTCAATACAGATCATGTTATCATCTTGCTTAGGGCAAAGAAAATGAGTAATGCCTATTTATTGAGGTTTAAGGGCCATCATATTCATAATGTGTATAATGGCACAATACGGCATTGAGTGATGTTTTTTATTTTTTTATTTATCTCCTAGAACAACTCATGACTTTAATTGGTGCTGCTAAGGAGCATGGGATAGAGTTCATCTATGCCATTTCCCCTGGACTGGACATCACCTTCTCCAATCAGAAGGAAGTTACTGCACTAAAGAGGAAACTCGATCAGGTATTGCAACTTTTTGTATGGCAATGTGTCCAACTCTTAAGATCTTGTGTCAAGACTGGGTCCTTACTGCTGCATGTCATCTCCTCTATCCCCACATTCCTAATCTACCTCTATCCAATAAAGACAAAAATGCCGAAAATATAAGCCCAAAGAAACAGGTCTTTATTTGTTCATATCATCAAATGTTCCATGGTTTTTACACTCTGCATCATTATGTAAATAATTAAGTGTTTACCATATCTGTCTCTATCCCCAGGTTACTCACTTCGGCTGCAAGTCATTTGCCTTACTTTTTGATGATATTGAACACAACATGTGCCCTGCTGACAAAGAGGTGTTCAGCTCATTTGCACACGCTCAGGTTTCTATTACAAACGAAATCTACCAGTACCTGGGAGAGCCCGAATCATTTCTGTTCTGCCCCACAGGTACATCAGTTTTATTCCCCAATCCATTTAAGATGTTATACAATTGTTTGTTGTCTACTGATTTTCTCATTCTTTATTTCTTGCCTTGATACGCAGAGTACTGTGGAACATTTTGCTACCCAAATGTCCATCAGTCTCCCTACCTCCACACAGTAGGAGAGAAGCTACTGCCTGGCATTGAAGTGCTATGGACAGGTGAGTCTAACACAGTTTCCTGTCAACAAAACAACACCATTACCACACAATCATGCATTTCAGAGTAGTAGAAACAACACTGTATTGTTTCCTTTTCTGCAGGCCCCAAGGTGGTGTCCAAAGATATCACAGTGGAATCAATCGAGGAGGTGTCAAAGATCCTAGGAAGAGCCCCTGTGATCTGGGACAACATTCACGCCAATGATTATGACCAGAAGAGGCTTTTCTTGGGGCCTTACAAGGGCCGCTCCACAGAGCTCATCCCCAGACTAAAGGGAGTCCTCACGAACCCTAACTGCGAGTTTGAGTCCAACTTTGTTGCGATCCACACTCTGGCCACCTGGTACAAGTCTAATATGAATGGGGTGCGCAAGGATGTGGTGATGAGTAAGTATGATCCAAAGCGACTTTGCTTTGATGGGGAAACACAATGATATCTCTGCATCGGTTTATAATGCTGTCCATTCTGTGTTTGTTTCTCCATCTTACGCTTGTCCAGCTGATGGCGAGGACAGCACCGTGTCCATCCAGATCAAGTTAGAGAATGAAGGCAGTGATGAAGAACTGGAGACAGACATGCTCTACAGCCCACAGCTTGCTCTAAAACTGGCTCTCACAGAATGGCTAGGGGACTTTGTTGAGCCTCATCAATACAACAGTGAGAGCAGCGCCATTATTACATCTTATCTCTATGCTAATGACATTTCTAGCAGTTATACTTGGAATACACTCATTGCGTTGGCATTGATGGCCTAAAATGATAATATTGTGACTGAAGAACACGATGCAGTGAGGCTTAACTTTGTCTTTCAGGCCGACAGGTGCCTCAGAGTGGTCCCAAAAGCACCGCCATCGACGTGACATCCATGACTGCTCCCTTGCTCTGCTCTTCCACAACAGTCACGACTGTGTTCCAGCAGCCCATCATGTCTCCAGCCATGCCGCCTCTCTGTCTGGATCCACTCTCACACCCCTTGGCAAAAATACCTCAGGACATAGAGGAGGTAAGATTTATTTTCCCTAAAGTAGTGCTGAAAGAGTTGTTTTTTTTCTTGAAATGTATTTGTCATTCATACAGTTCAGGATTACATAATGGGCTTCTATCAAAACAATTTTTCGGCGACCATTTTGGGGGAAATTGGCTTTGATGGTGAGGAAAGCATCTCAATATGTTTTTTTAAAGTGTGTTTTCCCTGTTTTTGTGCAGGTGGAGTTGGAGAAGAAGGATTCAGACGAGGAGCCCATGGAGATGGTGGTTGAGAAGCTAGATGAGCTTGAGCAGGAAGCACAAACCGACCCAGAGGAGAAGCAGGTCGGTCCCATCTTAGTTGAGAAGATGGCTGAGGACCTGAAGCCCATGGATACAGACAAGGAGTGTCTGACAGAGTCCAAGTCCCCTGAAGAGTCCATCCAGGAGGACCCTGGGTGCGACATCGCCCCGATGCAGACAGATGATCAGCTCAAACTGATTCCACAAGCATTTGTGAGTTTCCTTTACTCATCTGCAATTGAAAGCAAAAATAAATTAGCATTCCCTACAAAGTAACTTTATTTTCTGGTGTGTCTCCTCAGGAGTTGTTTGTGCCCGGGCCCGACGAGAAGCCCCTGTTCACCGCAGAGCCCCTCACACTGGACGACCTGAGCCTGCTGGCAGAGCTCTTCTACCTGCCGTATGAATACGGACCCAAAGCCGTCCAGATGCTGAAGGAGTTCGACTGGCTGAGATCCAACAGCAGCGTTGTGAGCGTCAACTGCAAGAGAAAGGAAACTGAAAAGGTGGGTTAATGCATTTCAATAAACACACACAGTTGGGAGGAAGAGGTCTTTCTGAGAGAACGAGTTAATTATTGACTGCACTGGCCTGTGATAGTGCTGGTTGTTGAAAACAAAATGGTGGATGTGTACTACCCATACTGCCCATTGGGTGGTGTGGTTATTATAGTGGATGGAGTGCAGCATGTGTTGTAAAAACGTCCCCTTCCCCCTATTGAACCTTTTTCTCAAAGATATTTTGACATATTCTAGCGCAAAATTGTCACTGGGTCACTTTCATTAAACACAATCATCTTAATGTGTATTTTCTACTTTGACAAGTCAAAAGTCAAATTCAGCTTTACAAAAAAGTGTTTCATAAACCAAAATGCTTTTAGTGCTGTCAGTATTTTGTATTTGTTAATTATGTGTCCTAATTCCAATCACTCTGTTTGATGCAGGTAGCAGAATGGCAATCAAGGGCAGAGAAGTTTGAGGACATGTGCCGCTCAGTCATCCAGATGTTCACACGGCTGTCCAATTCAGCCAACCACACCATCCTATACGACCTCTACCCGTACATCTGGGACATCAAGAGCATCATTTCTATGGTCAAGTCTTTTGTCCAGTGGCTAGGTATGTATTGAAAGGAACCATAAGGCGCTTACCCATAGAGACAGTAGCATAGCAATAGTCTGATCAAGTCAGGTAATCCAGGCGTTATTTACTCTCACACACATATTTAAGCACAATTAGTCAGCTTTTTAAAAAAACAATTACATAATGATAACGCACTACTAATCGCTAGCTGCGTTGATTATGCCATAGTGCAATGCTATGTAGTTTAATGATTTATAATGATTTTACATATATTCCACAGTCTGCTTAACAGACTGTAATTGTACTGATGAAAGACTTATGGCTGCTAAAGATCTAAAGCCAAAACCTGTAGACATGGTGAAAATGAGGCTAGAACTACCAGTTTTTATTATAGATTGGCCTAGCAGAGATCTGGCTAGTTGCATCACATATCAATAGTTATGATTCTATTCATTTGCCTTTAAACACACGTTGATCTTTTTTTTTTCTTCTGACTGAATGCCGCTTGCACTGCCAGCATCCTCATGTATTCCTGGTGATATCTGAACTCGGCCTCTGTGGCAAACGTTGCAGCAGGGTTACTGCTGCTTGCTGTGTATCCAGTAACATCAATGCTGCATTCCCACACAGACACACTTGCTTCCATTCCTCCTTCTGTGGGGACCGGAGCCAGAGGGAAGCTCCCACCGACCCATCCCCTCCCTCCATGCCCTTAGCGCGCACGCGAGCTTGGAGAGCAAGTTGACTGACTGTGGAAGGCCATTCTGGTGCATAAACTGAAATATCCACTGTTTAATTCAGCTGCTTTTTAACACAAAGCATATGAATGTAATACAGTCTCATGGATAAGTCTCTATAACAAAGCTGTAATCTGAATTGTTTGCTCAATCTGTATCAGTGTGGGGCCCATCACCTCTTGCGAGGGTATATTCTCTCGCTTTCTCTCCCTATCCCTTCAAACTGTCTTTCATTCTTTCAGATGGTGCACTGTGATGCAGTTTGAGTGACAGTCAGCCTTGTGATAACATCTCCATCTTTTTTGGAGTGTTCTTTTGAATAGTCTGAAGCACCAGCATGGCCTGTAGTAAACCCCCTCTAACCCAGTTTCGTTCACAGGTTTCTGTCCTATATGGTAAAGCTGAGGACTCTAGCCCACAGTACACAGCAGGCAGCATACCCCCACTGACCAAACCACATCAAAATTCCACCACTGGGCCTAATGCATCAGTGTAGGTTGTAATCACTCTAGCAACATAGAGGAAATCAAGTGCCGCATTCAAAGAGGTATCTTTTGATTATTCCTCTTCATAACTGCAGTGTTATTCAGTGCCTAACAGATGACTTCTGCTGTTGCTAGTATCAGGTTTTACATCCATATGTTTTCCCCATATAGTAGCTGTGCAGCCGGCATTTAGTCGCACCCCCCTGGTTAATGTACTGAGAACACTTACTAATAACTTTTCTACTGTTTTCTCCCTTCACCATGTACAGATGGAAGAATCCACAGTACAAGTTTCTACTGCTATTGGATCGACAGTGGCCGATGTATGCACAGTGCAAGCGTCGTGTCTTTTTTTTTTGCTAGAGGATTTGCGTAGTTTATTATTTTGTTTTTTAGTAGATTCTAAAATGTTACCTACTGTTTTGGAGGAAATGAAGCAGCCCTCCGGATGAAGTCACATTTTGCGCAGCGATTTAGCTTTAAATCTTAAGTTTTAACTCCAAATTTCTCTCTTTGGCAGCACCTCTCTAACTTGTGTTTTTGTTTCTTTAGGTAGGACTAGAGAAATGTCTCAGAGCAGACTGATGCACCTACTCAAGGGAATTGTATGCTTGGCTTTTAAAATGTAACTATGGCACATGATCTTCATCCTACTAGGGGACACTTTTAAATGTGTAGCTACGTTAAGTGTGCTCACACATTGGCTGGACATTGCAAGAACAAAAGTTGCATGTTTCCTGCATAGCTGTATTTCTGTTAAGACAATACAGTCTGAATAGTCTTTGAAGTGGAAGCAAACCTCAAAGAGGTCATCTTTTTGTCCCATTTGCGGTTTTTAATCCGGATAAGCAAGTTCAGAGTTTCCTCCCGTGGGTGCATCTGCGTGCTGTGCTGTGTCAGTTCCTCTCAGGAATTGTTTGAAGTATCAGGGTGAGGTTGATATGAAAAGCACTTTTACGTGCCCTACCCGCGCGCTGCATTTGTCTGGTCACATGACAGTGCTACTCATCAACCATGGTTAGACTTTGTTAGCAGGAAAACTACTGTGTACAGACTCTAAGAGCCCTGTGTGCTTTAGATATATACTCCTCTTGCTTTGTCGCTGCAGTGCATCTTTGGTCTGTCTGTGTCCTTTAGTATCAGGCTGAGAGGCCTTTTAACAGGGGAAATGTCCACACTACCTCTCATGTCTTCCTGGTTTGATGACTCATGCTCCCCAGTCATGTGACGAGGCAGATAAGATGAGAATGTGACTTCACACGGGGTGCTAAAATGAGTGGGGTGACGGCAGCTGAAGCTTACTAATGTAGTCCATAGACAGTATGGGTTTCTGATGGTCTGTATAATGTCAAGGTAGTCAGATAGGTTTATCACCCGTACTGAGACACCAAGGGGGCTGAACTGCACTTAATTCTGGCCTCTCTTTAGTTTTTGGAGAGCATGCTTTTCTTACTGCAGCAAAAAAAAGATTTATTAAGACCGACACAGAGAATTTAAGTTGCATTGATATCTTGGACCTGATATCTCCTTGGTAACACGTAAGCTTTAGTTGCTTCAGCCCCATTTCATCATAATATATTTCCTCTGAAGAAGTTTATTCCAAATTAGGTCCTTTTTTATGTTTTAATGAATAAAACCAAATAGATACGGATTATGTTATTAGATACATATGACCCCGTTCCTACCCATCTCCCAAGTCCCTTCATCTGTCAGAGAGCCCCATCCTGTGGTAACAATGTCCGCTTGGCTCTGCTCCTAACAGGGTGTCGTAGTCAGTCCTCAGCACAGTTCCTTAGAGGAGACCAAGAACCCTGGGCCTTTAAGGGAGGTCTAGCAGGAGAGTTCCAGGTATCTAATGCACTGAATTTACAGCAATCTAATGGAAAAAAACAGTGTTGTCAGCAAAGACGACAATGGTAATATGTGTGTAGGTATGAAGGGCTTTGGTCTGTCCAAGGTGCGCTGATAATAACGGGTCAGGTTTCATAAAAACCTGGTTCCATCCCCTCCACTTTGTCTCAAAAAAGGTCCATGCCCTTGTATTATTTTGGGCTATTGTCAGTCTGTTGGAGGGGATTGAAACCCAAACTAACCATATAGGTTACAGCCAAAGTTTGGCCTGGCATTTTATGATGGATTAATTTGAATTTCTTTCAGCAACGTCCCAAGGAGATGCTGCTTTTCCCTAGTGCACGCAGCGCACGCGAGCATGGCTAGGTTTTATTTTTATGACATCTCATTTCTTTGCAGGAAAAGCACAACAGCCAACCTTTTGCAAGCGCACGCACAAGCATCGCAGCGCAAGCGGGTACGCAAGCAATGTTTGCAAAGAGAAAACTCCATGATCAAATACACACTAAAGTATCTCTATCCTTGGAGACTAGCAAGACTCACAATGGCAACTAATATGCCACTCAATCTGTCAGTTAGCTCAATTTGCCTCATTTGGGTTTCAATCCTGGAGTTTTCTCTGCCTCTCTGCGCCAGCATCATTATTTTTCTCAACAGGAGGGTCCTGCGCAGCGAATTATTGCGATGTCTTACAAAAGGGAAAGGAGCATCTCCTTCAGACAGTAACACCTTAGCCAGACCAAAACACCAGCCTTGTTTTATTATATTTGAAAAGCAAATATGTATGTGCTTGTGTTGCTATGTTCCACTAGGAAAAATAAGAAAGGTGTGATGTTTGTTCTTGTTGTCCACTGTCAGATCAAGAAGAAACGTCAGTTTATATCTTCATATTGTGTTTTTTAACTATACTTGTCATCCAAAGCGCTTTGCTCTGTTCTGTAGTTCCTTTTGATTTGATAGTGGCTCAACTGTAGCAAATGCACAGTGAGGCAGTCAACCACAGCAGCACATCGCCCCAAACTGAACCTGTTTCTTTTGATACCCACAGAGATTGTTGCCAATAGAAGCGGCAAACGATCTTTTTTACCAACCTCCGCCTTCATTGCCAACTTCCAAAACCTATTCCATAAGGCCATACTTTCCCAAGGATGAGGTAAGACTTTTTTGTGTTTAGTCGTGCCCTTTTCCCCCTCTTTTTTTACCAAAATCCAAGTACGGCACCTTCAATACCTATAGTTATCAGGTTTGAACAATATCCTAAGCAAAATGTATGGTTACAGAAATCATGTTGGCCATGTCCTAGTATTCCCAGCAGTAGTGGCCTAGTTGTAGTTGTGATTGCTTTGCACTTAATGTGCCTCAAATGTTGTGCGCAACTGCTATTCACAGCATGTATGTGCTGAATGTAATGGCAACTCAATGTATGTATTTCCAAGATGTCTTTAAACACATTTGCATTTTCTGGGCATTGCTAGTATTGTATATATATTTTCTTCAACTAACCACTGTAACCATCTTCATTTTTTGCAGACTGCCATTTATAAAATCTGTAAAGAAATGTACTCTGAAGGAATGGAAGATGAACCGGTCTCTGAGGAGGATCCTGACCTCATTGGAGACAGGTAAAACATGAAGACCACTAAAGCATGGACTGCAGTTTCCCCGGCAGTGCAAAACAACATCACTGACTAAATATTTGCTGTTTGTCCACACAGGTTAGTAGGAGGTCTCCTGTCATTGAGCTCAGACTACGGGTTTGTGTTGGAGGATGATGAAGGGATCTGCGGTTATGCTCTTGGCACTGTGGACGTCCAGCCCTTTGTGAAAAATTGCAAGATGAGCTGGATTCCATTCATGCAGGAGAAATACCTCAAACCTGACTGTCAGAAGGATCTCTCAGAGGCTGAGGTAGGATATTTATCCGTCTCTCTCACTGTCATAATATCTGTAGCGCTGGGGATACGATTGTTGAGTTCTATTGTCCCTCTCTGTCTGTAGAAAATGATGCTGAGTTTCCACGAAGAGGAAGAGGGTCTTCCAGACACTTTCCTCTCCAACTTCCCCTCTCTCATCAAGGTTGACATTCATGCCAAGGTCACTGACCCCAGTGTGGCCAAAAGTATGATGGGATGTCTTCTATCTTCTCTTAAGGCAAATGGTAGGTGGCGGTCATTCTTAGTTTTAAAGTAATGTTCTTCACCTATACTTGTACTAGCTACAGAGAGGAAATACTGTATGAGTTGTTATTAGCCATGGTGGTAAGAGGGTGTCAGAACAGCTTATCTTGCATTTGACAAAGGAAAACAAAAACAATTCTGAGGTATCTAACATAGTTTATCCATATGGTGTTCAAATGGATTGAAAGGTTTAAAAATATAAACAATCAAAGCCCAGATGGAAATAATCTCTTCGTTCTGTGACAGAGGTCTTGATCCAGTTTGGGATTTTTGTTATTGACTAAGATGTTATCTTTATTTCTTCCAGGGTCCCTTGGTGCGTTCTGTCATGTCCGGGAGACTGATAAGAGAATGTTGGACTTCTACGGTAAGCTGGGATGCTTTGAAGTGGCCAAAATGGAGGGCTTTCCCAAAGACGTGATCATTATGGGACGCAGCCTATGAAGAAACATCCTGCTGAAATAACAGACTGACAGAGAGGCAGCAAGACTACGTGGCTCAAACATGTTTGCCGCCTTCATGAGAGAAAAAAACTTCCATGATGATTTTATACTTCATTACCATTTGGGCTAGCCCTCGTAAAACCTCTTTTTAGGATTTGTGTACAGAAGCACAGCAGTCGCACACACAGATTCCCTACGCTGCCCTTAAATGTCACGGCTCTGTTTGATCAGCTGATCCGAAGCTAAAGGCAGAGGAGCGATCTGTAATCAGTTGATTTGAGCCAACATGGAAGAGTGGCACTCCAGCAATGATTGCAGAGTCCCACTTCTCATATACCTCCAGGAGGCAGGAAGTGAAAACTCCCAACATAAGCCTTTTTCTGATTTAATCCAAGTAGTCACTACATGGATATTGCCCGCATTCCCTAATGCAAAGTGTCTGCATCTGAAATGGAGGCAGAGTTGTGAAATGAGGGCGGTCTGTATCTCAGGTAGTGTCTCACTACCCCTGCACCGTTTTCCCAGCTTTAAAACAGTAAAGTTACACAGCTGTCCACACGAACAGGACGACACCTTTGCACAGGGTGTGAGGTGTTGTGCAAGAGTTTGCCTTTCATCATCACATCATGGTATTTCCAGTTGCTCCACAATGGACTTGGAGAAAGAGGCCTTTTTAAAGTGGTTTGTTTTTATCAGAAATGCTAAATCTGCACACACAATAGGTGGAACATTGGAAAATAGTAGCTTTTGGGGTTTATCAGACCCTCTATGAATGATTATCCCAGAGCAGCAAGAGGTATATTTGTTAAGATTGTTAAAAACTCAACCAGGAGTTCCTCTGTATTTCTGTTGAAGTACTGAAGGACATGGGGAGAGCAAAACAAAAGCTTCCACAGGTTTACAAACTTCAGCCTAATTATGTTCAACGCTTTGCTTGTGGCCATTTTGTTATATAATGATTTCGTTTTTGCTTATTTCCCTTTAAGCTATTGCCTTCTGGTTCATTGCCTTTGGATTTTATGTTAATATTGCAGAAACCAGTGTCTTCTGTTTTAGGCTTTCTAAAAAGGTATCAGTCAGATATAGAAGGGTGATTTTAGGATATTGGCCTTGCTCAAATTCCAGTACTCACATTTGATGAAACTTTACTCAAATCAGCATTTTTTTGATAGCAGTACCCTGTTGGACCAAAATCGTAATATTCTTTTAACTGGCATTCACATTGAAATACATTAGTTAAAATGTGACCCTATTGACTTGAAGGTGTTTTCCTTCCCACTCTCATGAAGCTACTCAGTTTTATTGTCTTAACCACTAAGTTCAAACCTGACTTAAAAGCAGCAGCTGATCCGGACTATGTTCAAGAGACATGCTGCAACAGTTCTCTTCAACTGGTCATTAATAATGGACAATAATTAATTATGTCAGCTTTCATCCCTCCCTGCATTGTTTTTACCCCGCATACTCTCAAATGAATGTCTTAGTGAGCGGTATGCTGTCACCAAAGTGGCACCAACTCTCACACTGTTGAGCTGTGGATTTTGGGACTCAACGCTGACATTTCCTATCCATCCAATGAATGTTTTATATTCTGACTCGTTTCCCATTTGTTTTTGTAAATCTTGTGTGGTTTAAAAAAAAAAAAAGCACTTGGAATATAGATAGGGGTGTTCTGTTGGTTTCATGAGGATCATCAGTTGCTCTTCAGTAGCTGCCTGCCAATGTGATGTTTTGATACTGCGTACATTTATAATGTGCATGAGGTGTATTTGGATTTGCCGTGGCGGTCATTAGAATATCCTCATGTTGTGCTTCATGGAGGAAGAAGCATGCCACTCCCCTCTGAGCATGATACTGTAGTCCGTAGACAGTCTGTAAACACTGTCAATCATAAAGTGTTATTATTTTGTATATCTTTATTGAAATGGGGGCTCACTTTCTGTTGTCCTTTAAGGAAACCAAAGCGCTGGCCTTGTTCCATTGCCCTGTCCTGTAAAGCCATCCGATGTGAAACTCACCAACAGGTCTGCTCTTTGTCTTCTGAAACAACAGCAGAATTTTCCCTCCTGTTTTAAAATGTTTATTTTGCAGTTGTTCGGTGCTCACGCTTTCTTCTCTGCCATCAGGTTTTGATAGAACAGGGCTGTTACTGAGGGGAAAGGGCTCCTTATGTACATTTTGATTATCTGAGTTTAGGGTTGGGAGGTTCATAAAAGTGTCTGTTTACCAATGTAAAATTTGTATGTAAGATACATAAGATTCAAAACTAATAAACCATAATAAGTTCCTTTGTTTCTTTGTCATTTGTATCGCACACATCGTTCTGCTTGCATGTCTGGACTGAGTCGGGCTCTTATCAATTTTGACAAAAAAAGTTATGTCTGTAAATACATGTTTGGCATTATTAGCCAGAAAATAAATATCAGGTTTAATATCCCTGTTAGGGTTTTATTACAAAGTGGTATGAACATAAACCTTGACAAGCTTGGATTTGTGTGATTATAAACTACCCTAACTAGTAGTTAGCCTTACTCCTGAAACAAATCATATTTAACATTATCTTTTGTGTATTTGTGTATTGTGGGAAATAATGTATGTACACTAACTAAATTGAGTTATTTTGCAAATTACATACAAATGCAGGGAGGAGGTTAAAGGTGGGGTAGGTAAGTTTGAGAAACCGGCTCGAGATACACTTTTTGTTATATTCCATGGAATGCTCTTAACATCCCGATAGCAATGAATATCTTAAGTGCTTTGACAAAAAATCCATAAAATCTTGTGCCCTCATTGGTCATGTGCGCGTTCGTGTGTGTTGGAGGAGGGGCTCTGTGAGGAAGTGGCAGATTTTTTCCGGCTGTGTATTTTCAAAATCTAGCGCACTCAAGCTGGTTTCTCCAAAATTACCTACCCCACCTTTAATGAATTTAAATTGGCTTAGAAAAACATTCCAAATAACAAATTGTGTTTCTATTTATGAATAACTAATAGGTGTAATTACTTAATTGTTATTTTCTATTACAATGGATATATTTTACTTGGTAACATTTCACGTAGCCTATGTTAGCATCGGCATCTCAAATACATTCCTGATGTTCTGGAGGAGGGGAAAAAAACCTGACCGAGCAACGGCGCACAGTTATGACGCGTCACGCAGTCAAATAGTCTGCGACACGCTTGTTTCTCTAGTGCAGTGTTCATTTCGCGATAAAGTTTTCACAGCAAACGTAATTTTTGTGCTCAGACAAAATGTCTTGCCACGACGAAGACTGCACGACAGACCACGGGCCAGCCGGTCAATCCAAGCTGGAGAGCTTCCTGTTCAGTGAGTCCTTTAAAATCCACTTTCTTCTCTGCTGGCGCACACGTGGGTCTCACCTGTGACTGAACATCGCGCTTTAATAAGTCTTTATTTCAGCCAGTGCACGCGCTTGCATGAAATCATTAAAACTGTTACTAAATCATCCTTTTCTTTACGTGTCTTCCAGGCTGTGAGCTGTCCTCTAAAGTGCCTTTCTACACTTTCCAAGGAGATGAAGAAGAGGACCTGGAGCATTTCCTTGAACTCAGAACAGTATGTACAATTATTTGGTATAACCAGAATCACCACATAAAAGTTTGTATCTAAGGCTGTGAAACCATACTGGCTACTTAAGATTTGAATGAATATAACCTGAATTATTTGTTTTATTGTGACAGATTTGTCTGGGAGAGGGTGCAAAGGAGGAGAGTAATGTGGTGGAGGTGACGGCCATGAACCACCAAGGAAAGACTGTGTCAGTGCCCATCGCCAACCTCCACATCAGCTGCCTGCCCATGGTACAGTTGGCCATTTATTTACATGTAACGACAAAGGGATAGTTCAGATTTTTGTAGTGAGTAGATGTTAGTCTGCACACCACCAGTTAGCAGGGGAGAATGACAGCACTCGAGCAAAGAAATGTACTGATGTGTTGATGGGATTTCATCAAAATGTATTCCAGCCAACTTAAAAAAATCTATATCTATATATTTAGATGATTTCCCCCCCTTTACCTTGTCGTCAGATGGGGAAACTGAAGCCATATATCTATATTAAAAGCCACCAGATTCCATTGCTAAAAAGATGTAATTGTATCTTGCAGAATACAGATGTTACTGGTCTATCACTGCCTCAATCAGTTATTTTGTGTGTTGTTGTGTGACTTTGGTGAATCCAAAAGAAACCTTTTTAAAACACCAATGTTTTAGACTATCTTGTTTTTGCATGGTAGAGATGTTTCTCAACTTTGACCTTCTTTTCCTCAGGTGAGTCTGGGAGAGTTTGAGCTGAAAGCCCCAGTGACCATTCGGCTGAAGGCTGGGACCGGACCAGTCACTGTCAGCGGGTTACACCTCATAGGTAACTACTAATCTTCTCTTTTAACACTCCCATACTTTTAAAAAGCTGTCAATATCTCTGCTGTCTGTGCATGTTAATATTAGATCAAAATGTAACACAATTTGATTAATATTACAATAGGAAGCATCATGAATTATTTGAATTATAGTATTGCCTGTTCTGCACAACCCTCCAAATATTTAGCACATTTATACATAAGCTATCTCTCATCCACCTCCATAGCAATACTGCACATATTTGATTTTATGATTCCTATTACTTCGCAACAGTATACGGCACGTAGTTCTTTAGTATATCCAGATTTGTCATGTTAAAAAAAATCTATATCTTAAACGTATAATAGTTTCAATTGTTTTTTATTTTATTTGTTGGTTTTTTTTTTTCTTACATTTGATCTTCTTTAACTGTGTTTATGTATGCACAATGTACACCAAGACAAATTCCCTGTATGTGTAAACCTACTTGGCAATAAACCTATTTCTGAAATATTTTTACCACGATCTTTCCGATCAATATTTAAGGCGTGTAATATAATTCCAGTAATGTTTAAAGGTTAGATTGTAACTGATTTAAAATGAATTACTTGTTGTAATAAGTGTGTGTAGCTGCATATTAACTGTGCATGAGGTCAACTAAAAGGGCAGATGAATAATTTTGAGTTTCATAATCTATCAAAATAGTGATTTAACTTCGCCCTCTGCTCTTTTGCAGCTTCAGAGGTTGAGGAGTCGGATAACATGTCTGATGACGACGATGACGATGAAGACGAGGAGGAAGAGATCACCCCCATTAAACCAGCAAAGAAGAAGCAGCAGTAGATGGAGAAGACCCTGTTAGATCTTTGGAATCCCCCCCCCCCCCCCCCCCCCCCCCCCCCCCTCACACGCTGATATGTTTTTTATGAGACAACATTTTTTTTCTACCGGACAGACACTCTTCTTCCTCCACACAGCCACGTAAATTCTCAGTGTGATGGCAGCTGGAAGCAGGAAGTGACATCATGACGGGCTCTTCTCCCTCTCCATCTAACCGCGTTAAAGACACTCACTTATAGAAGAACTGTTTTTCCTATGAAATGCTACAGTGATTTAAACTGTATGTGATACAGTCATGGATTTACTGCACCAGGGAAATGTCACTTTTTCCCACTCGTTATGTTTATATATACTGTACTTGTAAAAGTAACAGCATTGTTTGTATGTACTGGCCAGACGGGAATTGTTGTCCCAGCTGAGTGGTGCAATCAGATGACTTGCATAAATTGCAGTGTATTAAAAGATCTTTGTAGTTCAAAACAATATTGTTTTCTATGTGAAATGTCAATCATAAATGTGAAGATTTTGTAGTAAATTCATCAAGAAAAAAAAAATGGTTTTGTTTTATTTTGTCTCTTAAAATGTATAATTATTTCTAGCCTTTTACATTACGGTATAAGCATCTAATTGGTCAGATAAATGTAATCCCCTCTCAGAAACACGCACTACACCGTATGTTATTTGAGAGAGATTTTATTTTAGAGACTTGTATCGTGATTTTTACAACTAACGTATTTTGTTTTTCTTTTTATTCTGTCTCTACCAAAGCAGTACAGACAATTATTCACATTGACAAATGATGAAATACGACATGCATGCGGAGTTCGTGCAACAGTCACACAGGACTTTGTGCTATGACCTTAATTTATTTTTAAACAAAGTTCAATCAACTCTAATTTTTAGATGATGGAAAGCTGAAATAGAAATGTTTAACATCGTATTGTCTTAGATAAAATACCATATTTCAGCTAGCAAATTTGGGAAGCAGAAACCCAACCTACTGTCCTACATAAAATCCATGGACCCTAAAAAACTCAACTGAAAACTAGAGCCTTTTAAAGTGGATTAATGGTAACATCACGTGTGAACGGTTTGGAACTATCTTCATACTGAGATGCAATGGAGCTCTTTGACTCCCATTCCAGTTTGGATACATCCATAGAGCTGGACAATTATAAAGACAGACATCACACACATACAGAATACTCCAGTTGAAACATTTCTTGGCTTTACTTGACTCTGTAATGAAAAATTAAGATAACTGTCAACTGTAAATGGCCAATAAACCAGTCCATTCAACAGTTTGGCCCATCTGTCAGCTGCGGTTATCTCTTAATTTCTGCGTAAACCGAAAGACGGCTGCAGTCGCCATAAAGATAAGGCTGGAGGAGATACAGGGAGAGAGGTGGGAAAAATAAGAAAATGGAGAAGTACTTCAACCTATCTGAGCCATTCCCAGCTGATAGAGGACAACGCGTTGTGCTAGTTTACCAGAGCCTCTGTCCACCTTCATCACTGGGAGAGCTGCATAACCCAACTCAATCATCTTCCTAGGGAACATACATTACAATCCTCTTTAAAACTACCAGCCAGTATGAAAGAACCATTCAGATAATTATATATAATACAGTAAATAAAATGCAAAGGTGAAATTCTTCCATTCAAAACCTTAATTAAATTAGGTATGTAGGCTATGTTCAGAAACTTTTACTTAAAGGTGGGGTATGTAATTGATTTCAGAAACACTTTTTGTTATATTCCATGGAATGCTCTTAACATCCCGATAGCAATGAATATATTAAATGCTTTGACAATAAATACATTAAAACAAGTCATCTGTGGAAGCCGTGGCGCTGTAAAAAGCATGACCAATCATTTTAGCCGGCCCGGCTAAAATAACTGGATGGCCTACCTGCCTGTCAGCCTTCCATCTCGTGCTCAAACTTATCTCTTGCCCTCATTGGTCATGTGTGCGTTAGCATGTGTTGGAGGAGGGGCTCTGTAAGGAAGTGGCTGATTTTTTCCGGTTGTGTATTTTCAAATTCTAGCGCACTCGAGTTGGTTTCTCCAAAATTACCTACCCCACCTTTAAATGTAATTTATATATTTATATACTATCATATGTATATATGTCTCTGCTCCCATAGTATAAATCTATATTTCTGTTGCTAGAGTTTTTTGGTCTTTTATAGAACATTTAAATGTAAACAGAATTAGTATTGTGTAATATTTGTGATATATGTCTTTTCTACTGTAGATTTGTTTATATTTGCTGTTTATTTATTTTGTATTTTGTTATGTTTATACTTTATTCCACCTTTTAAATATTTCAATGTCTGAAAACACTGATGCTGTAAAACAAGAATTTCTCAATTTGGGATCAATAGAGTATCAATCTATCTAAATGAATCATTTTGGAGAAAATTGTTCCCTGTCTGTGTTTTACTGTTATCTATGATGATTTTGATACATTTTACTGCAGCATTAATGTGTATGCTGCATTTTAATGCTGCAGATGTTTACGGTTGTGCTTTATTTAACTTTCCATACTGTTGGGTTATTACATCTACAGCAATGCTTCATATTCTATAAGATCTTTATATCTTTATATATACACATGTAATAAGAGAACCGTGTATCTCTAAAAAGGCAAGGGTTTTTTAATAGTTAATTTACCTGAGGAAGTTGTAGAATTATATCCACAAATAAAGGTATAAAGTGAGTTGCATAAAAGGAAAATAATGAGTAAATACTCAAATGCATGAAATCCCAGCTCTCGTGTCTCTCCATGATGATGGACAGCATCACTGTGGCACAGCGGGACAGAGGAGGGAGAGATTGAGGGAGACGCAGTTAAACAAGCCGCACCACTGAGCACCAGATGTCCGTAAGCCAAGTTTTATCCCAACAACTGCCAGGTGCTGCCATGGTAACATGAGAAATGACCACCTGTGCGATCCCCTCGATGGCATCGTTCTGTGAACAAGGGAAAAGGGGGTTGAGAGGGAGGCAAAAAACAAGGGGACAGGGATGATGTTTTAAGATGATTTAGCATTTTTACTCAGCTGGCTCTTACCCCTGATTGCCCCAGCGCTCTCTCTCTGGGAGGGGAAGGTGATGATTGGAAGCTGACGGATAGCAAATCAATGTGTAACAATCCTCTAACTAGTTAATGTCACCTTGACTTGGAGCAGGTGCTGCTGCTTCTTATGTTCTGACTCATAAACCACATCCACCTCGGTGTACGTTGAATCAGAGCCTTTACACCACTTTTATTGGATATAGGGCTTTTATGGTCCAGCGCCTGTGTGGTGCATTGAGTCCTTAACCTTCGCTGTAGAGGTCAAAGCCTCCAGAGCAGGGCTTGTGTCTGCAGCCTAAGCAACAACGATCTGGCAGTAAACACGGTGATGCATGTTCAAATAAATGTCAATGAAATGAGGAATCACTCATTTTGATGACATTGTTTTTTGCCCAATAAGGGTTTTTTGTCTATTCTTTGGGTAATATGCTCTGTCACATATGTAATGTTCCTGTTGAATCAAAATAAATGAATTTCATGCTACCTCTTATTTGACTGTCATTTTGACAGTGAGGACATGACATTTTTACAGATAAATGACCATAACATTTCACACTTTTCCAAACATCTTGTAAAATATAATACATGTCTGTTGATCCACCATATCATGAAAATGTCCTGTAATGTTTACCACTTCACTTTTGATTACAGACAAATAAAACATATATATATCTGGCCTCATTCATTTCAGTACACCAAGAGAGGGCTTAGAAGCATATCAGCATAGTCCATTGATTACTGATTTGAATGAAAATGACTAATTATTGGAAAGAACACACACACACACACACACACACACACACACACACACACACACACACACACACACACACACACACACACACACACACACACACACACACACACACACACACACACACACACACACACACACACACACACTCATAAACGCCATATCACAGTTCAAAACGCTTCCTGGTCATTCGGACTGAAACCATCCAGATATGAGCCGTGGTTGTCCTCCCCTCTGAGCATCAGTGTCAAAGCAGGTTCACCGTTAAGGCAAGGAAAACGAGTTGAATTATATGTACATAATCATCTCTAATATCTAAATAATGTAGACTATTGTGCCCTTTACTGTGGGAAACATTAGCATTAGTCAAAGGCTAAATCTGCCTTAGTGAGATGTTGTTGTTCTCTTACATGATTTGAAAAGCTTTTGAAAAGATCCAGTAGTTTTAAATGAAAAAAGGGCAGATTTGTTATTAAAGGATACAAAAGCAATAGAAGAATCTAATTTGAAAAAAGAGCTGTGACCTTACTTTGTAGTCACTGGGTCACACAAATTGGAAAACATTGAGCTGAATATTGTTTATAATAATACTCAAAGATAGACAAATAAACCCTCAAATCCAATAAGTCATAAATAATTTGTACTAGCCTACAGAATTTTCAAGAAAACATTTCCCTCTAAAATGTGTTGAAATCAAAGTATAAATAGTACTGATATATGGAAAAACATACACTCAGACTATAATATAATTTACTTCTAAGAGTTGTACTTGAGTACACATAATTGTATACGTTTCCACCGCTGACACCTGCATGTGTCACTCCTGTGTGGTCCAAAGTTACTATGGCAACAGCTGAAGCACGCCACTGTACTCATTAACTGCATACAGCTGTCCTCTACAGAGGGACTCTGCGAGACTGGTACAGTTCACCTGCACACACACCCTTCACATCTTTTGTTTATTTCACAAAATTCTTTATTCTTGCCTGATTCCTTTCAGCTGTAACTCAACAGAAGACTGGTTTATGTTACAATGATTTCCACAGGCAAAAATAGACCGGCAGATCAATAAGCATTGGCCACGGATCTTTGTCTTTGATGTTGTGTGTGTGTGTGTGTGTGTGTGTGTGTGTGTATGTGTGTGTGTGTGTGTGTGTGTGTGTGTGGGTGGGTGTGTGGGTGTGTGTGTGTGTGTGTGTGTGTGTGTGTGTGTGTGTGTGTGTGTGTGTGTGTGTGTGTGGGTGTGTGTGTGTGTGTGTGTGTGTGTGTGTGTGTGTGTGTGTGTGTACACTTCTATCCTTGATTGGAGTTCTGGCACTGATTTCAAAGGCCTTATCAGATGCACGTTAGCATTTTGAATGGTTGATTAATAGCCACTCTGTATGCATTATGATGTATACGTCCGTGTTCCTGTCCGTGTAACTGTTTGTGTCCACACTAAAAGCACTAATGACCACTCATTCCACATACTATAATACTTAAGGCAACAATATTTTTTACTTCTCACATCCACCAAACACTGACAGGACAGTTATGCAAGCTGCCAGCTGTTCAAATGTATTGGGACTATGTCAATAATAGTCATCTAAAGCCAAGAGTTACAGAGGAGAGCTGCACCCTCCGTGTCAGTGATGCTCAGTACATTCCAGGAGTTTTTGGGAGGAAATGTTTTCATACATCCCATTTCTCTGTGTGATTTGACAACTTTCTTTATTTTTAAATGATTACTTTCACCTCTACCCTGTATACAAAACCCTTTCTTAGGAACTGGTACTAAAATCATAGGTGTTTTTATGGGGGAAGACTTAACAGATGTGGGTATAATTTCCACTTATCCATCATCCACTGCCTCCAGCAAAAGTGGTTGTATAGCTGTGATGTGAATGTTTCCAAGCTTTAAAGGACATCTAAGGATGCCAAAGACTGTTGAACATTTCATCTAATGTAAATGTGTTCTGAGAGACATAATAAATTACACTGGGCCAGAAAATGTGTTTGAAATGAACAGATAGGGTGAGTGGCCTCTGTTATCCCAATAGCACATCTAACCACTGAGTAAAGCACACAAACAACAGCTGCACAACAGCTGACAGTTCCCCATGCATTGAACACACACACACACACAGACTCACGTCCTTTTGCAGGCAGGGGCGTGTTGTACTCATACACATACAGCTCCAACACACCTGCCACAACAGAGCACAGCTGTCAAGTGCATCACACTTTACCCTATATGTAACCTCCCTTCTGCACATATATGAGGAACCACAGTATCTGGCTGATGGTCCCGTGACACCTCAGCACATGCTCGTACAACAGGATACGACTCGCACCAACGCTGCCTATAGAGCGGCACAAACCAAACACTCACAAAGCTAAATGCCTTTTTCAAGCTAGTGCTACCTCAAATGTTGATAAATGACTTTAAGACTGTATAAAGATCTGTTGAGGGCATTCAAATTAATGCTAAAACAAATCAAAATAAGACTAAACTCAGCTGTCTTTGTCATTGAAATCCCTTACTTTGATGTTTTTACAGTTTAAAAAACAGAAAATATCTCTATGTATTAAATGAGTGGTATGGCCCCCTTCACGATATCTGTATGTTTTATTAATAACACACACAGAAGGAACGATGCTCAAGGGGAATGCTAATAGTCTTCCACACACACGCACACACACAATAAATGTCAGATTCACGGCACACTGTACCTAAACCTCAGCTCCTCCTACTCCTCTCTACCTCATGTTTTCACTGCCAGAGGGGGCCGGGCTCTTTAGAAAGGGTATCAGCAATTTTACTATTCACGCTCTTGAATTTGAATGAAGAAAAACAGTCTGGACAAGAGAAAAAGGAGAACGAAACAGGCGGGCAGAACATTTTATAACCCATAAATAAGTGATGTGCCTCACTTGCTCTGTTCCCCCCCTCTCTAATCATTCCTCCCTTTCTCCTCTCCTCCCTCTAAGCCCTCCACCCCGCCCCTCAGCTCGCTCCCTCTATCACACCGTCTAGCTGAGGGGGAGGGGAATGATGAAAAGAGTATGAGTGACAGATAAGTAGATGACTATGCTGTCCCAACCCTCATTAAAACTCTGCGCCTATATCTTCCGCCGCTCAAAGCCTCCTCCTCCTCCGTGTCGAGCCCCGGCAGATGATACCCCGGGAGAGGAAGAGAGAGAGGTGAGAGGAGGGAGGTGCTGCTGCTGCTCATCAGTTATTCCTGTTCTCTGACCTAACTTGACAATGAGCTCCAATAATGAGACAAAGAGGGATGAGACAGAGATTTTGCCAGAGACCAGGATGTTGACAAGGAAGTGAACTGTCCTAAATTGGCAGATAATGGGCCCTCTGTGGTCTGGTCTGTAACAAATCATCGCCCCAACCTCCTGCACCACGTTGCTCTGACTGCAGAATGTCCTAAACATGTGGTCATCCACCTCAACATTTACAAGATCCTATGAATAGACTGTGTGTAAAATGTAGGGTGGGATGCACTGCAATAATAGCTTTCCTTTCTTTTACAGGAAGCTCTGACTTTTCAACTGTAACCCACTGAGTAAAACTGTAAAACCTCTTAGCTTAAACAGATCGCACGACGTGCTGCTCAGTACAAACAGACCTCTGTGCCCCACTTTGAAGTTTATAATATAAATATGGATAAAAGCCCACAGGATTACATTAAAATGTGTAAACCAATGCTTAAAATACAACAAAATGTCAATTTATATGCTTGTTTATTCAACATTTTCCACTTATTTTGGTTTATTCATAATCTTGTATAAAAATGTATGAAAAACCTGACAAGCATTTGGAGTCCAGTGTTTCTAAAGCCACATGGACTTTGGAGTGCATGGAGAGGCTCCATGCTTGCTTTTAGCCGCAAACAGGAAATAATCAAGAGCTAGGAACTTGCAAGTACAATAAGAGCGTGTTAACAGTCTTTTTAGGCACTGAAGTCTCTGAAGTCCCATGTCAGGACTCATGATGAAGGATATGTTGTTTCTTTTGTTCACTGCTTGAATGGATTTAAGACTACATTATTCACATAAGCACTTCCAGTCAAATTGAAATAAATAAAAACACAAACTGTTTAATTAGAGCATTATTATGATTCAGGAAGTAAACAGGAGTACTAACGTTAACAGGGCATGGTTTCCCGAAAACGGGGTCAAGTAAAAGTCCAAATAACATTATCATGAACGTATGTTGGAGACACAAACTGATAACATATCTCTGATCCTAAATGAAAAGGAACAAAGAACAAAAATAAACGCTGATTGTGGTTTATTACTTGGTCCCGTAATGCTTGTTTGAAGACTGGCCGTACAGCCCGTAGAAGTCAGGGTGCCTGGCTGTCATGGGGAAATGCTGCAGAGGCTGGCTTGAAGATAGCGGGGCGTGGGGGGGGAACTCCTGAGAGGTCATGGAGGGGAAGGAGTCCGAGGCTGGGTACGGGGGCCGGGCACGAGGGGCCGGGGCCCGGGAGCAGCAGCAGTTGTTCAGACTGCACATCAGTACTTTCCTTCCTTCATACATGGCTTGTTGCGAGGCACCTCCATTGGGGAAATGAGAGGAGGGGAAAATGGTCCCTGAGTGGTGGCTAGAGCTGGACCCCAGACCCACCATGTGATGGGCGGCAGCGTCAAGCAGGTGGCTGTGGCCGGGAACACCGTGAGGATTCTGGGAGAGACCCTCAGAGGAATACAGGGCATGATGGCTCTGATCAGACAGGAAGGGCTTTTTGCTGCTGTAGAGCAAGGGTGGAGGTTCCTGGGAGGCGGAGTTTGGTGTGTTACTGTCCAGAAAAGCCATGCCATATTTCCTCTTCTGTGGTCCTGAACTAGTCCCCATGTGGGGGCCAGCGGGGGTGCTGTGAGACGGCAACATCTCAAGAAGGGACGTGTCGTTGAACGGCTCTGAGAATGGAAAGTGAGGCAGAAAGTGTTAACAGTTAAATATGAACATACAACATCTTGGAGATCGTTGTTGAACATCGTAAAAATATATTTTTATTTACATATCGTTATAGTATCTTACCTTCCAACATTTTTCGCATGTTCTTTTCTCTTGTTGAAAGTTCTGATATCAGATGTTGAGAGTTGAGCTGGCCCACTCTGAGTGCAGGCAGAGAACCACTTAGGTGTGAGTTTGACCTACAAATAAAAGAGACACACATATAGTATTGTGGACCACATTCAATATAGTTTGCACACTCGCTTGAGATGCATTGTGCACCTTGACACTTTCATTAGACTGGATTACTGGAAGCATACTTCTGTATTGTATGTATGCTTCTGAGGTAACGTATACTCTTAGACATGACAAACACTAAACAATCACATACCGGTAAAATGAAATAGAGTAGAAGAAGAAATCCTTACCTGTCCATTAGCAGCTGGTATGGTTTTGTGTTCTAAAAAAATCAATTAAGATGCACAAGTTAGTCAGACCCACAATCTAACAGCTTATGAAGAAATACAGACAATAGACCTACTGATAATGTGAACAACATGTATCTTCATTTGTAATTCATTTGCTATGTGTGTGACAATGCCATTGTGTTCTTGAAAATCCACCATATATTCTGTTTATGTTGTGTTTGCGTGGCTGAAAAGACATGAATGCCCTGTACCTTCATGAAGTTAATGCCTTCTGCCCTTTTGAAGAACGTTTGCACTGAGCTCAGGAGTTTTTCTGCTTCCTGGCGCCTTTCGTTGAGCTGCAAAACCTGCTGGGAGTTTTTCCTAACATACGCGGTGTAGGTGCTCTCCAGTAACTGCATGGTTTCACTCTGGTTGGCTTCTAGCAGCGCATGCATCCTCTGATACTGGGCTCTCGCTCGCTCCTTCAGTTCAGACACCGCATCCTGTGGAGGAAAGTTGATTTACAAACACATTCACTTGTACCAAACACACACGCCACCTCTTTCATATGACAACATTAATTTACTAGCAATGGAGAGTATGACTGTGGAAATCACAGTAATGTCTTTAATGACTGAGTAGTAGCTTTTGTTGTGCCTGTGAAATGACACAGATGTCATCACTTTTGATTTTACCATTCTGTCTTTAGTCTATCTTTTGCAAGTTGCCTGAAGGTAGAATATAACATTCGTGAAGTGCTAATTGTAACAAACCCATTTACCCTTTATACCAATAACAGTATTGCTGCAGTATCTTAGCATTAGCATCTAAGCTAAGCTAGCACTAATTTAGAGTTAAAGGTGGGGTAGGTAATTTCGGAGAAACCAGTTTGAGTGCGCTCGAATTTGAAAATACACAACCGGAAAAAATCTGCCACTTCCTTACAGAGCCCCTCCTCCAACACACACGAGCGTGCACATGACCAATGAGGGCACGAGATAAGTTTGTGCACAGATGGAAGGCTGACAGGCAGGTAGTCCATCCAGTTATTTTAGCCGGGCCGGCTAAAATGATTGGTCGTGCTTTTTACAGTACTACGGCTTCCACAGATGACATTTTTTTATGGATTTTTTGTCAAAGCACTTAAGATATTCATTGCTATCGGGATGTTAAGAGCATTCCATGGAATATAACAAAAAGTGTATCTCGAGCCGGTTTCTCAAACTTACCTACCCCACCTTTAAGTCCCGGGATTTAAAATAAATGCTTCAAAAAACAGCAGTGAATCGATATGTTCAGTAATTATAGGTTAAGGTTTTCTGACTTCATTATGTGGAATCAGTGCTTTTAGAAGGTGAACATTTACTTGCAAAAAGCATTTCCACCCCAATGCACCAGCCATTAAAACCTAGAAATAAATTACATTTTCTTTTCGTTTTACAACAGTGAACAAAGGTACATTGTCATCATTTCATTACAGCAGCGTGTGGAAGAAATTATAGCACAGGAACCCCCATGGTGATAAAGAGCCAAGGGACAAGTAATGATACTGTTCAGAATGGTGTCTCAGAAAGTACATGAAATATATATGCATAGATTATATATATAATAAGTATTGTACCTTCACCAGAGTCTTGTCTGACTCCAGCTTGGTGAGCTGCTCATCGATGTTCTGAACACGCCCGTCCAGCCTGCCCTGCTGCCTCATTAGCATGGCCTGTGGAGAGAGGACATACAATGGATGGATTACAGAGATACAACTCAAAATATGAACTCTTCTTGAAACTTAAATCCTGGCTGCTATTCATGAGTCACTAAAACGTCACATTTCTGATCAGACGGAGGAAATGGCAGCTGCCAGGAGCAACCACATGCATTTATCGATAAGAGCACACCAGCAAACACAATTGCACAAATCCATCTCTGACAGCTTTTAAGTTTATCACAGGCCGTGCTACATCAAGGACAGTCCATTGTTGGAGCCTACTTCCTCTGTGGGCTCGATGAGAGTGCAAAAAGAGCCGGTAAACATAATCCTTCTCCATTTACTGCAGGAGAGGGAAATCAATCTACAGTCACCGGCTGACAGCTAACTAGGAACAGGGGCGGGCAGGTACGCTTTTTAATGAACTGTTTCTGCATGGGGAAAGGCACCATGCCCAAATAAGAGGAAACCCGCTGCCATGGCAACAAAGCCTTGTGTATGTATTTATATGTGGAAGCTAATGTGTATGTGAGGGAGCAGGAGGGAACAGAAAGCGGGGGCTTCTCACTACCCCTCTCTGCTTTCTCATTTTGCCACATGCATTGCTCCCATTGTTTGCATTGGCCTCTGTGTCAGTGACAGATTGTCATGTCTGTGTGCATAATGCCCGGCTCCGCTCTCTCCCTCCGCTTGAGTGTGCATGGGAGAATGGGAACGGGATGAAAAGTGCTATAGGGCTCTGCTTGCACATGCCAAGAACGGACAGAAAGAAAGCGAGAAAGACGTACAAAAAGGAGAGTGAAACCAACAGAGGGAAAGTTTGAATTAAAAAAATCAAGATAGGGAGAAGGAGGACATTCCTGCGGTCTCTAGTGAGCATGTTTCAGGGAAGCTACGTTGTGGTATCACAGCAACAGGCCTCTTCAGCTGCTTATAACACTCGTGGAGTCTTATGTTCAACAACTGGCTGGCAAACTATACCAGAGTGAACCCTTCAAACAGTCCGTTTTCAAAAACAAAACCGGAAAAACTCTCTAAAGGACATAAGGCAATACATACACCCTGATTTGCTTGTTTGCATGTCCTCTAAAACCGTCCTTTGTAGTGAAGAAGTGCTAAAATGTTCACTTGGGAAAATATTTCTGTTTCCTCTGCTTCACATGGTCACAATCTAAGATAACTTTGATTATGAAATGGACTTTGGACTATTGACAAAGGACGCAGTAACATGAGAAATACCACATAAAAAACACTAGTCTATATACTCATTCTGCTCTAAGCACAGTTTTGGTCTCCGCCAACTCCTAGCTGGCTTTTTAGCAGCTAAACTAACTTGTAAAATGTTAGCTAGTAACTAGAAGTGTCAGTCTGCTTTGCTGAGCAGGAAGTGTACACAGGTTTAAGCTGTTTGCCTAGCTGTTGGTCTAGCTCTTTTCCTAGCTGCTAGCTGCGGCTGGAAATGTTGCTGATGAGAGCAGTGAGGGTGAAACAAAGTTGACATACAGCCATATAACCAAAATAATTAATTGAAAGACACTAAAAAACCCTGTGGAGCTGAAGAGTTAGGTGATTCCTCTGTTGTTCGTTTAATCTATTGTTCATGCAGAAGTATTGATCAGTGCAGCTTTAAGTGCTTAGAAGAAAACATTGAATTTCCAATAATATGACCATGCATTAATCGCCGCATCCCTAATGCAGTTCAGACAGTCAGCATTTAAGGGGGTCTCACTAGAATAATCTAAAGTTCATTTTATTTTATGGTGTAATACCGGGGCCTTTATAGAGAGCACAAGAGACTGGGACTAACCAGAGCTGTTGAAGCAAGCCCACCATCATAAAATTATAAATTAGATAGTTGGTGCGGCAACAAGACGGTTGTTATTTAGCCCTAAGGTAACTGTATGCCGTGAGATTTTATCTACATGAATAGCATTCTTTGTAATTCATGTTCGGAGAAATAAAAGCCCATAAGGCGTTCAATATCTTTCCCTGTAACATCGGCAAAGCTCAGCACATTGGACACTATTCTTTTACATTCCTTGTTTTTGGAGCCTATAAATCCTATGGATAATATGACTCCTCACTGCACTGGAGAGCAGTTGCAGATTGCTAACAACTGAATACCCCCCTCCTCGTTCACCCCTCCTTTACAAGGCCACAGTGACGAGACGCTGAGTGCAAAATCGTGGTAACGCCGTGGTACCTTCCAGGACCTTCCCCTCGCTCAGAGGACTCCTCACCATGCGCGGCTGGCGTAACCGAAGTTTTACAAGCGTGTCCGATAACAGTAAGGTTTTTTTTTTACCATCTACAATAACTTTGTTTATTGTCCAACAACACAAGCACTGGATTCAGGTGGACAATTGGTATACATTGGTAGTTTTTATTTTACCAATGAAATAGAAGCAGAAGATTGCAGAAGTGAGGAGTGTAAATGATGATTGAGGCAAAACCAGTTAAAATACATTCATTCATCAGGCCTTCAAAACACACAAGACGCCCAAAGAGCTTCTGTTGCAGGTAACGTTAACTTCTTTGTGCACCTAAAGAGGTGGAGACCTTCTCACATGAGACTGCCAGCATTCATGTTGGAAAGTGTGTGTGTGTTCCTTAATCATGTTTGACATACACATCACACACCTCTACTTCATACACTTATGATTATCTTCTTTAAACAACCCTGACTTTGTCGTGCGAACCCGCTCTGCTACCTACTTACTTGGCTGTGTTTCTTGTTTGATCCAGTTTTTCATGTACTGTTTTCACAATACTTTTTAGTCAGCACCCTTGCAATACTAACAACTGTCTTAACAAAACAGTGCATACAGCTCAGTGATATCTTATGGGAGGAAACAGGATAGAACACTTTGTTGTGTGATCGCTATGGTGCGTGACTTCTTTTTGGGCCTGGATGTTTCTGCTCAACAACAATGTCTTCCTCATTTTGTCATGTTTCCTCCAATTCCCTTTTTTGTCTTGTGTGCTTGAAATAGCATAAGAGGACAGGAGGGAACTGTCTGGTTGCGGATCTCTCTGTAGCAGCGTGAAAGCCTACCTTTATCAAGATTAAATCCACCAATGATCACTTTCCCCACTGTCCTATTTAGGCATCCAGACACCCGCGGGTTGCCAGGAAGCTCATGTTTAAATGAGGAGCCTCAGGCTCAATGAACAGAGAGCCTCTTTCACAATCAACTGACAACTATTCCCCACGTCTGATGTCAATGGACTGCCCTCAGCATTCTGGGGACCTGACTCACTCCAGCCCAAAGACAAGAATCTGCAAACGGCAGAGCCTCCATGAGCCACGGTTTCCTGCCTGAGAAAACCAAGGTGAGGCTGTGTGGGAGGGCTCCTCCTCCGCCGGTCCCAGGGACGACATAACTATTATATTACTCTGCCTTTCTCGTCATGAAATTACCAGCAAGCATGCGAAAGGTTACTGCAAGTGCCTCCTTTGAGAGCCAAAGACAACCAAAGATTTGATCATAGCTACATTGGTTTTTCCCTTTTTGTTTATCCCAAAAGTAACAGGGGGGCTGCCAGGGGAATTTCAAATCCTTTTACAGAAATAGACCACAGTTCTGTGAAGGAGAACGACCTCTTAGTAAGAAATGAAGAGAAGCCGCTCTGGCCTAAATTACTTTAAGAAATGAACCAGCATACAGGAAGCCTAACTTTATCAGTATGAGAGTGCACTTTGTGTCTGTAGGCCCAAGCATGGACAGTGTTAATGTGAAAAGAGCCAGGAGCTGTGACTCCTGGATAACTCCACGTATCTGCGAACATACAGTTGTGAAAAAACAGAAAAGATGGGTGGGTGTGTGCATGTGTGTGTAGAGAGCAGCTGTGGAAAGGGCTGAACAGACATCTTTTGTCCCAATAATAGCTCTGAACCAGAGCAACAGTTTCTACCAAAGATTTCAACCATTTGTGATCCCCACACTGGAAAGAAATGTGCCTGTAACTTTCCCAACTGGAATAATAAGATCACCAAACGTGTCAACAAGACACGGCAGATGCTAAAACTAATCTGATTCTCACTTCCGCCCCTTCACTGATAGGGAAGAACAGGGAAGAAATGTGTATAAAGCAGTGTGGGTGGCTGTTTTTTTACACCTTGCCACTTACATTAGACTTGTGAGAGGAGAGTGGACTGAACAAATGTACAGAACTCAGGCAAAATATAACATGGTGGTTTTATGCAAGACACTCTATGAATCCTGAGATCAACCCTGCCAAGGCAGTCCTTTGTTTACCTGCTTTCAGTTAGATGAACACACTGCAGAATGTATTCTCCTCACAGCTTTTCTACCTTTGTCTCATTTAAAAGTTCCAACTCCTGGTGGCAAACGGTTGAAATTCAAAGTTGTATACTTTCTTGCTTGTGAACATTTTCACATATCACCACAATTCTTTCTCAAAATGAGTATATCAGTTTATTTAGATCAGCCTCTAAAGCCTTGCCAGTGTGCATTTCCTCCTGAACAAATCCTGAAACTGATCAGGGTAGCTTCCATCAACAAACTGTGGATCCACCCCCAGTGCACAGGGGTCATCATTTCCGGTGGATGCAGATTGCATCACAGCACTTACCCGAGGGCACAGGGCGGCTAATGTGAAGGCGTGGCGACGGTGTGGAATGGGTGTTTTGATCAAGGTTAAAAGCTGTGTGGGTTGTAGGCCTGCATGTGTGTGAATGTGTTTGCTATCATCTATTCTGATGGGGGGGGTTTCACCTGTCCAGTCCTCTCACATCAGAGGAGACCAGAGGAAGTAGAAAACAAGACAATCTGAATGCTTCCTTGATATTTACAGGAGAATCCATGGAGGAAATCAAATAATCTGAATACTTCCTTGATATTTACAGGAGAATCCATGGAGGAAATCAAATATTTTGACAGTCACCTGCCAGTCAGCTGATGGTTTCAAGTGATTGGGTGAGTAGGAGAGAATTTGTGGGTTACCTGCATTTGTATGCGTTGCGTATCCACATCGCAGACTGTGTGTCTTTGGTTAGTGCAGTGGGAGATGCAGCAGAACGGACACAGAGCCACCTGCTCCTCCTCACAGTGGAGCAGCCTGTACTCCTCATGACTGGGACAGGTCCAAGCGCTCAGCTCCTCAGCGTCCACTAACAGGTGTCCAGGGGCCGCACAGGGCTGCTGAAGGTGAGTCTGGATATGAGTTTGGCAGCAGGGCTCCTTGCAGCGCAGACAGACCTTCCTCACAGGCAGTGGGGGGCCTCGTCTGCAGAGGACACAGTGCAGCACGGCAGGGACTTTCTCAGTGTTCAACGCGTTAAACGTCTTCACTATGTTGGCCAGTTTAAAGTTCTTCTCCAGTGTGGGTTTCTGCTCGTAGTCATGGTTGCATTCGGGGCAGCGGACCGCAGAATTTTCCTTGGCCCAGGCCTCAGAGATGCAACTCTTGCAGAAGTTGTGCTTGCATGGGAGCTGGATGGGTTCTTCAAAAACATTCAAGCAGATGGGACACAGAAGCTCCTCTTCGAAGCAGTTTTTCCAACTTTCATCCATGGCTTCAGCTGGATCCAAACTGATGTTGGCTAAAAATAGAAAAACTGAGAATTATTTTTTAATATTATCGATTATCTTTTGAAATATATAGGAATACCCTTGTGAGAACTAAGCGTACCAATGTCTTATTTATTCTTGATTAACATAGTATCCAAAATGGCACAAGGTAGAGAAATTATTTTGAGGTAAATGCGTATTAAGAGTAGATCAGTGTCAAATGTCCAATTAAAGTGCAACCACCGTGAAACTTCGACAAAACATGCCAAACTATTATCACTATAAAAGTATTCACATAACGTACAATGACAATATAACATTTGGTTTGTGAATTTTCGCTGGGGAATTCACGACAGGACGTTGCAAGCTGTGGCGTTTTAAAGCAAGTGACAACTTGCTACGGAATAACGCTGTAAAAGGGACCAATAAAATGTCACACTGGGCTACACCGAAAATGTATTTCTACGCGAACACAGTGTTTATTCTGATATAAAACAGTATCTGATGAAACATATAAGACGTATTCTGTAAGAAGAAAGGCAACATTACCAACTATGTATTTCCCATGTCGTTAGAGGACTCCGGTGCACCTATAATGCCGAGCTTCGCATCCAGCAGCCCGCGGTGAGATCCGGCTCCGGCGGGGGGATTACGGCCGTGTGTCCGACGAACTGCTCCACACACCCCGGATTTTATTCGATTCCCGGCTGTTATTCCGATGGTTTCGCTTTCCCGTCAACTCTGAGTAATATTCTATGGTAAGTGTAGGCAGACGGTGACTCGTCGGCAGGGAGCTCAGTGCTTCCACACCGACTGCCCTCCTCCGATAACGTGACCCGTCACAGAGCCGATACAAGGCGGGGAGGAGCCGAGTGGAGGAAGGGAACAGCCACAGCAAACTCTACCGGAGAGACTGCTCATGACCGGGAGACATTTGTGTGACCTGTCCCTCCTTTGCTCAACCCGTTTTTAAAATATACTGAAGTCGACGCTGGCACGGACAGAGGCTCTCAGGGGCCCATAACAGGGTACAAGTGCTGTGCATTAGGGGAATATTTAAACAAATAAAGGTTGAATGATGGTTAACGCCTTTGTTTTGAGTAGAATTATAAATGTGGTATATTTGGTTGTGTAAACAAAGTCTTAAATGGCGAATATATTTTTGTTAATAGTTAAATAATGCTTATAGATGGATTGAATATTGGGTTGCCAGGTTTTTACTGTTAACTGTTTGGGTTAACACCAGCCAAAGGGATTGTGACAAAACTTGCTCGTATTATTGACTTTTAATTCAACTAGAAAGCAAAAGTAAATATGTTTCAACATTACTAATGCTCAAGTACTTCTTAATTCTTCTTTTTAATGAGTCTCATTTTTTACAAGACAATACATACATGATCATTATGTTTTTATTCAATAAATAATCACCATCATGAATTTGACAGTGGAAATTCAAGTTGTACTTTTAATGTAATTAAGGTGCCAGAGTTCATTATAAAAAGCATAATTTTAAGCTTTGAATAAAAACTGTTCCAGGGCTGGTTCTCCCTGAAAGGTCTCACCTAAGCCCTAGATGTTATGAAAAGGCACCTGGCATTCTTTCATTTGGCGAAAGTGGGCCCCTGGCAGAGTGAGTTGAGTGAGTAGGGTATCCAGGCTACAGGATACTCAACTCACTGTCAAAAAAAAAAAATCAACTAAACATTTAATAATACAGCATCTATCATATCTCAGTAGTACAATCATTTCCTTACATTTTTACTAATAATGTTTTAATAATTTAAGACTTGATCTCTATAGGCCTATGGCTATTGGTTTTACAATTTAAGAAGAAAAATGTATCAACTAATTTTGAATTTAACTTGCACACAACTATGAATAAACACAAACCATTGCCGTCTGTACAGGGGCCGAATGTCAACCATCATCAGGACGTTGTGTGGTAGCATCAGTGTGTGAATGGGCAGATGAAAGTAAAATGGTCAAACATGTGAATACATGCATTTACCATTTACACACACACACAATCTTTACATGAAATGAGTTCCTCTGTAATTCTGCATTAGTGTTCCAGCTTTATTTGTGTAAATACCTACACACTTTAATGCACTTGGGATTACAATCAGGCAGTTCAGTCATAGGACAGTAATTACAAAATACCATATCAAAAATGTCTAAACTTTACATTTATCACTCTGAATAAAAAAGGAAACAAAAATAAGATGCCATGACATGTTGTATAATAGTACAGTTTTTCAGTAAAAGTAGTCCTTTCTGTTTTAGTGTTGAAATGGAATGCAATGACCCTCAGAAAAAGACTGAACGCAGCAGTCTTGATTAAAATGACTAGTGTTTAACAAATCTAGGACTGTAGGCAGCATTAAAGGTCAATAGAGAATATGTAGTCATTTTCAACACGAGGCACTGAGGAATTTTACTCCAACTCAATTTTAAGCAGGTCCTACTGACAACAAAATATGTATGTGGCTACTGGCGACAACACTTGAGAAGACAGTGACAATGGATTCCTGATATTCGAACATTTACAACAAACTTGATGTATTTGATTTTTTTTAAAAGCATCATGTGAGAAAAAAAAAAGAGATCCCCTGTGCCAGGGAAGTCACACGCAGTGAAGTTTTAGTTAATCATAGTTCAGTCCATCATGTGATTATTACAAAATCATGACACATTTGACACAGACGGTATTGGCAGCAGACTGCCAACAGGTAAAACTTTGGTATGTCCACAAACACACAAGAGAAAAATGTCCAGCATTTGTAAATACTATACACATGAGCTCAATTGAAAGAAACACTGGTAAGAATGTTCAACATGTGCATTTTCCTTCCTTTCTAAAGGCAAGTGGAATAAATAGAACTGTAACAGTTATCTCCGGAGACACCATGTCTGGTGATCACAGGATGCGGTATCAACTGTATTTGTGACTTTTATTTTGGACCTCAGATGTGGCAGGCCTTACTGGAGGAATGACAACTTCCTGTTTTGCCCTACAGCTAGTGTGTCACATATAATGATTGTTAACCATCTGGACCGGCTGGTTTGACATTCTCAAAAGTATTCAAGCCTAAGAGAAATGTTGTGAACTGTAGGGCTAGTCTAAGAATGCAGGAAGTCAAAAAGAGTTTAGACCTTCCCTCAGATCATTTTCAGTCTCTGGCCGTCCACAGGGGAACAACATTTCTGAAAGCTCAGGGTCGCTGCATGGTCGGAGGTCTCCTGCTCAAAATGGACACTCTGGAAGTGTGTGTCTGCTGGTGTTTCTAGAGAGGAAGTGTCTCTGTCTCATTGCAGTGGATTATCAAACACAGAGTCTGGTAGGACAGAGATCTTCAGCTTCTTTTCTGGCCAACTGTACTCCTTTGGTAACTTTGTCTACACAAACAGAAAGAATATAAAAGGGTTAAACAGGCCGTTTAATAAAACCAAACAGAAAATAAAAGTAAAATGCAGGGTATCTTTCACTTGCCTCCTCACGAGTGTTCAGTTCATGTAAATCCCCCAGCATCTGCTCCACAAACTCTTCAGTCAACAATATCTGTATAGGGAGAACAAAAGGTAAAATACATTAATTAAATATGAACTCACCACAAGGAATCCTTGAGTTTATGTGCGAGTGTAAGTGTGGTGTGTGTGTACCTGAAGCCAGGGGCCATGAGCGGCATAAGGATGCTCCTCTGTAGCAAAAGCTCCTTCAACTCCAGTAGACACAAATGTGATGGCTGTGTCTCCGTTGATGCTTTTGTAAGTGAAGTGTCTCCCATGGAGCAACCGGCCCCTGTAATAGAATACATTAAAAGCTTTATAAAATACAAATGTAACGATAGGTGCCTGAGTGTTTTCCTTTATTTCAGCCATACACTACTTATCTTTAAATGTGACAGTATCAAACTTCACTGGTAGAAACAACATGTACAGAGACATCCTAACTAATCTTGTCCCATGTCAGTATCAAATACATGGGTCCTTTACACCGTGTTTTCGCTCCCAACTCCCTACATATCTCTCCCTGTCTCACACAAAAGTCTCTCTGTTTAACATCGGTATTGTTCTTTCCTCAGACAGAGGTAACATAAGGCAGGTTTGTCTGCTGTCTGTGCCGAAAAACAGTGCTTGGATGGCATTTTGTCTGCAAAATATATTAGCCACTGGTGTGTACACATTAAAAAACGTAAATGAAAGTTGGCTGACATTGGTGAAAATATATTGATTATGTGATACTAATACAATAAAAAGGCAACTTAACTATCGAGTCTATGATCATTGAAATTAAAGTTTTAATTCAGCAAATCATGACCTTTGTTCTTATCAAATTTCTGCAATTTGACACTTATTGTTGGGTAAGTGAGCAGAAAAGATAGTTATTATCTTAGTCATGAAGTTCATTTACAGTAATAATCTTCGCTAACGTCTCTAGTTAGCCAAGGGTCAGGAAAGACACATGTCTCAATATATTTATGTACACATCACTGGCTAGCATTTATTGGAGACACTAAAGTGCTATCAAAGTGAAAGTAGGATGATGAGTTTCAAGCTGACTTGCAGAAAGCCCCTTTCTAACATCAGAGAAACTAGTGTCACCATAAATGTTCTGTGTTGTTGAATGCCACACCCATACAACAAGAATGGAAAGCCTATTTTTCATCAATCCCTCTTGGGGACATTCCGAGAGGATACATATTATGCGTTGGCTGGAGAGAGAGATGCAGTACCGCAGGCAGAGCGGCAGCAGTGTGCCTGACTCCTGGTTGAATTTCAGATGGACGCTCTCCAACTGTCGTGTTCGGACCAACTCATGAGGAACAATGGCTGCTGAGCTCTCGCTCTCCAAACTGTCCTTCCGACTCCTAAGAAACAAATAGGAAAGAGAGCGAGACAAAAAAGGGGAAACATTAGTGAGGAAGTGTATCATGGTTCAATCCTCAATGAGAGAATGGCTCTGACAGCTTATGTAAAGGAAATGGCAGCTCTTTGGTAATTGTCTGCAAAGGGAAATGGACAGACAGATATTTCACAACTCCTTTCATGGAGCGGTAACCTTACTATGCGTAAGACTTCCTCCGAAAAATAGCTACAAATTAGGGACAAACCATTTTATTATGCTGGTAGCTAGGAAACAATGGTGCTAACAGTTTGGATTTCATAGGTTGTGATTCGCTGCATTTGTTGGCAGGAGTTGTCTTGAAGTCATGTCAGTGTGTGTTTGGGTGCGTGGGAGGATCACTCACTGAGGTCTGTCGTGGCTCGGTCTCTGGCTGCTGATGGGTGGTAGTGCTGCCTTGGTGTTAAACTCCAGGCCTTTTCTCAGGGTCTCCCTGATCTGCTCCGTGTCTGTCAACACACACACAAAGAGCATGACACCTGAACCCCTGTGCCAGATTGGTTAAGCATTTGTGGATCTGCTCAGTCCTAATTAGAGCATCTTACCTTTTTCTGAGAGCCTCCGGGGCTGGGATCCGATGCAGATGGATCGGCTGTCCTCCTCGTCCTCTGGCGGTCGGCTCAGATCATCCCACACACACTTGGCGCTGACCCCACTCAGGTTAGAGCCCTCCGTTTCAATACCCTGATCCACCCTCTCCTGCTTGGATAAGCAAGATAGTACGCAATCATCAACACTAGCTCAAATAACATTCGCATGTAGTTACCATTTTCACTTCAGATACTGTATAAAGTTGACTTGGCCAACAGGGGGCACTAAATACTGTCAAAAGGGAAAAATAATGTGAAAGTTATGTTAAAATAAAACTTCATTTTCTATTAAGGGATGCCTTTAAAATGCTTTGTAGATGTCAGGGTCACTTTGAAGATGTTGGGGTCGCTTTGCCTCTTTGATTTCCAGGATACATCTTTGACAGTTCCAGGCCGATAAAGTTAGCACTGTAATCTACAAAAGACTTGCTTTTATCTATTTATATTACAGGGAAAATCAGTTTGCTTTGGATCCCTTTCATCTGAACTCCTGACCATCTTTCCCATAAACAACGTGCACCATATAACAGCAGAGGGCAATGGTTTCACACTATAAGTTATTCATTTATAGCTTTTAGCAGGGAACATAAGATTGCCGTTTATCTTACACAATACAGTGTAATTCGGGGAGTGGCAGAGCTTAATAAAGCCTTACTTGTAGGTGTGGGTCAATGTCAAAAATGGTCTCCCCTCTCCTCATGTCTGTGATTAGCCAGGGGCCGCCAGCTCTGTACACAGGACAACCATCAACATTAGTCTCACACAGCATTAATCATTAATAAATGTTTAACACAGAGTTAATCAAAGAACAAGTAGCTATGTGCTTCAATGGCTGATCACAATGCATTTCTAAAACTGGAAACTATACATTGTACTTGGATCTGGAGTGGCATGAACTTTATTCGTTTACAATAAATAATAATCTTTATCTCATTTATACGATACAACTAAAATAGTTGTGGTCTACATTGTTTCAAGGTTAAAGTTAAAAAAATAACAAATATAAACGAAAGACTTGTGCCAGGTCAAGTTGTATTTACTGCAAATCTTTGTCACATATGACATTTTCTAAGAGTGACATTAATATGAACCTGCGTTGCTCTGACTACTGAACGATCACTTATGAACAAGGTTGAGCAACAAAATAGAAGCTTACCTAATAAACCAGAGCCCAATATGCCCAAACATGACTTTGTTGTACTCACAGTCTGACTCCTCTCATCAGCTCCAGGATGCCTTGGCCGTTCCACTGCTGGGCCGCCTGTAGCTCCTCCGTACAAACACCCACAATCTGTAGGAGATAGGAGGCAACTATCTGAGTACTGCTTAGTACTGTGGCTGTACTACTTTATTCCTATAAATTACAACAATAACCAAATCTGTAGGTTGTACAAATGTCATTGACAAATTATTCCTAGATAGGGTACTGTGGCTGTTTGAGCATCTCTATTGTCGTTTGGTTCCACTACATTACATTACATGTTACTTGTTGGTTTGAACCTGTGCTCCCTTGATCCGAACACCAACGCTCTATCCACTGCGCCACACGCCTCCACGCACTACTATGTAATATTAACTAAATGTCACAATGAGTTAAGTCTCCTTCATAATAATATATTAATTTAACAATTCAGCTGATATGACAACTTGACACAAAGAAGACACAGACACTACAACAAGTTGAAGGCCCCTGCTGCTACACATATAATGAATTGACTAATTTCCACAAACCTACTTAAAGAACCAGATTAGTGTACACACATTCTTGGGTAAAATATCTATCATTTTACAGAATTTTATTATGGATACTTAAATTACGTGAATATCACATATTTGAACTGACCTGGAGAAAGCTCACTGTGCCAAACGGAGTCAGAACGGGTTGCATCTGTGGATCCTCTGTCAGCAACATGTGCTGGATACGAGATTCACTGTTGTCTAGAGGACTGTGCCACGATATATGGTCGCCACTACAAAATGTGTTTTCTGTAGAAGAGAGGAGAATTATTTAAGTATGGCAAAACATGATTTAAATTGTTTTAAGATACACACTCTTTCACAAGTCGTAGAAGTCCAACTTTCTTTCTTATCGTTAACTGGTGGTACAAAATCGCTGAAGACAAGTTGCAGTAACAATGGCAGAGAGAGAATTCTACAACCAAATAGGGCACAAAAATAATAAACTAAATTTCCATCTGGGGAATCTGTCTGCTTGGGAGGTAACAAGCACCCTGTCTAGATTTGCTGCAGGAGAAAAGCAAGGGGAAGATGGCCAGGAATCAGCATTAATTTAGCTCAGGAGAGCAGCCCACCCACGCGCAAATTGACCCCAGCTGGATAGCAGAGAAGGGCTGGGTGGAGAGGAGAGGGGAGCCTGGAGCCTTCTTCTCTTTCACAACCTTTAAACCCCCTTCCCCTCTCAACCAAACTTTTTTGTGTACATTATAATACACGACTTAGGGATTTAAAGAACTTGGCAGCACAGACTATACATAGTACACAAAGAGTATACATTTACACACTACAACAGCAGTCTTCACCATTTTAATAGGATTGTTTTCGCCAATGGCAAAGGGAGAGAAAGGGGAAATTAGACTTCCTGTCAATACCCTGAGCTCCAGCAAACACAAATAATGTGCGCTAAACCTAAGCCGGCTGCCAGCAGCACACTCTTCTATTCTCGCGTGTTTGAATGTACAAGCGGCCTTTACAAAGAACACATTCTTCGCATTCAGACGTTAGAAGGAAGCATGCCAACTGCAGCCGTAGAGAGTTGTTCTATCATATCCTGCGTAGATGAATCATTTACCAAACTATTAACAAAGGGTGACTAAAGATACAACTAAAACTTCACCTCTTTGTCACACACTATCCAGGTAAAGGGTGAAAATGCAGGACTGGAACTAACCATGTTTTTATTATCTCTTAATTTGTTATCTCCGCCTAGACAATGACATTTCCATTTCCAGCGCCCAATTAACGTGTCAAATCAAGTTTGATTTCACTAATAGCTTTTAAATAAACTAAGAAGAGCATTTAATATTTTTAAAAGCCAGATATCATAATAATAATAATACAGAATCTGATTAGTATTTCATGAATTAAATCAAAATGGTTGCCTTTGATTTTGTCCTCAATCATTAATGCTGCGAAAATATTCATAATAAAAATGGTAAGAGATCACTTGTTTTACCATAGAGCATACATTAAATGGCTTGCCTTTATGCGTTTAAAATGTGACGCTTAATAGTAAGGCTGTACTTTTTGCACATTTGCTTGGAAATAATCAACAGCAAAATGTCAAAACTGCCTCTGATTTCTAGGTATTTGTCTATCTAAACAATTATCAAAGGGGGAAAACGTTGTGTGATTATGTATGTAAAAACCCAAATTGTATACATTGGGGTCAAAAATGTGCCCGTGAAAAAAGGAATCCATGTTCTACACTGTGTGTTTTTCACCCCCCTAACCTCTGTGCTCTTACCTGACTGGAATACATAGCGAGCCAACCCCTGCATGAGTTCAGCCGGCCAGGTTGGTGGTGCCGTCTCTCCCGTCTCTCTTTTGAGTCTAAAAGTGAGCTCAAAACCAAACCCACTGGGTCCGTCTGTCCCTGTGAATCTAACACACACACACACACAATAAGAAACTGGGTAAACAAAACAGCAGGAGCATCGCTTTCATTTTTTATTTCATGCATGAGGGTTGGGGATATCACAATGCATGACTTAGTCAGTAGTTGGCATATTATTTAAGGGCTTCTGACAAGTGCTCACAATGTCAAATGAAACAGATCAAAATACATGTGTTAAAGTTACCCCAACTCCCATGTGCAACAGGAAGTCAAGTATTTACATTAGGTACTTACTCGTGAACCCGATTATCCCCGTACAGGTCACTGAGTCCAAAGCTGACATAGTGCCAATGCTCCTGGATGTCCTGAGCCGGAGAGCCCGCACTGCGATACATACTGATGTAGTCTAACGGGTCAGGACCACCTAACCTGTGGGGGAAAGTGTGATTGTTATTGTCACTGGACTGTCTTTAGCACACCTATGTAAAGACAAAAGGAGACAATTACTTGTGCAAAAGTAGTCAGTTACAGCTAGCTTAAGTTGTTTTTATTCAAGCTACTATAGGTGAATCATTTAACTCTCCAATAACAAAGTAGCAGTTTCGTACAGTACGGTTCCTGGGCATAGTTAGCTGAACGTTTAGCTTAGCAGCTAGGGTAACTACTGGCTAAATGTCCAGACATCACCACTAAAGTTGTCCCACAAACTCAGTGCCTCCAGATTTGTCAGAACAGCAACAAAACCTACCAATATTTTACAATGGCGGTCACTTGAAGCGGGTTGGCCTGCTCGGGGTAAAGTCTCCGGCATTCCCCGTAGATAGCCTGCAGTCCAGGGGGAAACATCGGCACCAGTCCGTGGGCTGGAGCCCCACTGGTAGGCCGTACCTCATCCATGCCACGGCCTCGAACAAAACTGTGTTTTCTATACAAAACAACGAATGTGCAGTTATATTCTGCTATCTACGCCTAGTTCAACATATACAACACCGCCCTAAATAATAAAGGCTTCACAAAACTAATGTTTACCGACGGAATAAAAGGATTTTTAGCCCCAACCGCTGAGCACACAGCAGGGAAACAGCCTGTTGCTCATCCTCTACACAAACCACCTCCCTATTGGTTGTATGAGGGTCTTGACGTAGTTGATTGACAGCTACTATAGCGAATACAAATGGGTTTTAAGGTTTGTGTGGATTTGTTGCTAATTTTGATTGGCTGATACACTATCAATCAAACAGTAAGCAGATGTGATTTTAGGGTTGGGCTTTAAAGTTTTTCAGTGGCCAAATGGGTATTTAAAGTGTTTGAAGACGTATTGATATTCTTTATTTATGTAAAATTATATATCTACACGTTATAAAATACTTGAGAAAAGAGCAAAGAGGTTTTTATCACCAACACAAGTAGCCTATTGTAAAAATATACTTGTAGACGTTTCTCATTTTCATTTTTGACAGTGTAACTATGTGTGACCTAAGTCAGTGTTACCTAAATCAGTCTTAAAAGTCCTCACAACATCATACTGTTTTGTAATTATTTAATATTCCCATTATATTTTAATGGAAAAGTATGTTGACTGTTTATCTTATTGTTTATAGCTAATATTGCTGATTGCCATCACCATGGCTGCTTTAATGGAACTAGAGCTGAGATAAGCCCTGACAAAGAGTTACATGTGTGGCTTTGATGTGGCAAGGTCTGCTGAAAAAACTGTCCTTAAATGCTCTATTGCTTGGTTTCGTGTTATTTGAATGTTGCAGGATTTAAAATTGAAACAAAACATTAATAAATAACAGAAGAGAGTCAATAAATTACAGAGGAAAATCATTTGACTTTAATTTACTTTATTAACAATAACATGATTGATAAACTGTGATCAGTAATTTACAAATGTGTTTATTTGTATTCCTGGTGAGGTGACGTATGCAATTAGAAAGGTAACAATGAATACAATCATACATACAAAAGTGATGCGTATTAAACCCAATACACACTGACTGTGTATTGTGTAATAACTTTAAACCACACATGAATGCTTTCTGATGGTCATGATTTCTGCTCAAGGGTGCTGTGCAGTAAGGCTGAAAACTAGTACCATTCCAAAAGAACTAAGCCCATAGATGACACCTGAACACACCACCATCTATGGAATTCAGTTCTCATAGTACAGCACTTAAAAGGTTGGTCCTCAGGAGCCTCGAAAGATCTTTGAACGCTTAATTATCCGTCATAACTCATGGTTCTTCATCAATACTCTTTTCAAGTACTGCCCGTTTTTTAATAAAATAAATCCAAAATATTCTTGTACATAATTAATAAAACCTCTGTGATTAACAATAGAAGTGGGCTTAAGATACATGCTATACAAGATGTTAAGCAGAACGTAGACGTTGAGTCAGCTTCCCTTTTTCTCAAGAAAAGCAGTGATGATGGATGATAATGTCAGACCTGCTGTTTTCATTGGAATATTGAGCAAGAGGCAACTAATGTTGATCTTAAACAGTGATGAATCATAGTTGGCATTTGCATTAGTAGTGCAATATTTAATTTTAAACAGACATATTTTAATAAAATTGCATCAGATTATGTAAGGAAATAAAAACAAAGTGGAATACAAACCTCAAAAATGTTGTTATAATTGAATGGATCTAATGCTGTGGTTGTAGAGTCGATCGTTTGAGGAAATCCAACCATTTTAACCTAAGTATTCCTGTAAATGCTCTTCAGCCACTGAAATGAAAGTATGTCCACTAGGCTGATGCAAGCAATGAATCATATCACTGTGATAGTGCTCTGTTGAAACAAGAAATGAATCATCATTTATGGCCGTACTACACTCCCAGGAAAAAAGAACTTTGGGACAATGGGATTACTGATATTCAGTTGTTCAATGTATCTTTGACCCCTATTTGATATTAACTATTGAGAATCTCTTCCTTCATCTTCAAAAACACCTCATTCAAGGCCAATTACGAGACAATATTGACAGTGACAGTACCGTGAGATAATTCCACAATGTTATCTCAGTCACTGTGGTTTATTCAGTATGAGTGTACATTCTTTTAAGGTACATGTAATACAGTGCAGTGAACTTTCTGAGGAAGGCCACACCTGTAAATGTTCAGGAAACTGCTATCTTTCCGGGTAGTTGGACTGGGTAACCACCGGTTCTACAGCTTATTACCATAATATAATTCCTGTACGAGAGACTTAATTCAGTCCTTAAAGCCTGCACTAGTTTAAACAGCTGCCAGCGCTCAAAATGTGGAAGTTGGTAAGTACTCTTTTCTACCAAATAAAACAGTTATAGTTTAAACATGTTGAAAAGTAGACTGTAAGCATTTCTGATATTCTTTAGATAAAATGTCCCTAGTATGTTTTTTTTAGATTGACCATCATTTGACCAGTTTTCTGCCTATATACTTACCCAAGTAAATCACTGAAACGTTTCTCTTCAATCTGGGGTGTATAAGAAAATACATCTCCTCATGAAGCCTTCCAGGACTGTGCTCTTGCAGGGTCGAGCTTTAAAAAATCTTCAGCAGTCCCATCTCAACAAGAAGATGTGGAATCAGCAACACGTGTCTAAAAATTGAATGAACATAACCATCCCACCTGCTTGTAGGCCGACTGCTCACTCTCCCATGGCGTCCAAGTCCCCTGGAAGGATTCAGCAGACTGTCTGACATTCAGAGCAAGCACCTTAAATACCACCATCATTCACATCACCCATCAGTCTCCCTCCCTCCCCTCTTATCTGTTTTTCATACGCTCCCTCTGTTCGGTAAGCCTAACAGTCACTTCCCAGTAAGAAGGAAACAGTGGGAGTGGTGAGCAGCACGCCCCCTCACAATGAATCAACACATAATAGTTTCTGAGGAAAACCATCTGAGTGGCCCTGCCCCCTGTTCCCATAAAGTAAGCAGGGGAAAGGCTGTGTCTACTCGAGGAACCAGGAATTCCCCCACAGGCCGTGAACAGCTGTCGAAATGAGAGTCGATGACGAAGCGGACTCACTGGAGGTTTGCTGGCCGGGCATATGCAAACAGAAACCTTGATGGGTGTTTTGTACGTGTGTAAGAATGAAATAGTCTTTATAACACTACAGTGTACAAAATAAGTAAGCGGAAATTCTATCCACGCACTGTGGTTGTTGAAATGATGTGTCATGTTTGAGCTGTTGTTTCCTAGAAAAAAAAAACATGTTTGCTAAATATTATTTATCAAAAGGGCAGTGTGGACTTGCGTCATAGCCTTGTTTATGCTGAGATCCATTTATTTGTGTAGCTGGAATCATTCATTCAGGTGAGTTCTAAAAGGTCTTCAATAACACAGCCTCCCTAAAATAACTTTGTTTGTTCTCTAGTCACAGTCAACATGACAGGGACGTGATACTGATTGTGTTCAATCAGCTGATAGCTATATTCAAACAGTTTGGTTTTTCATTGACCCTGTAAAAACCTTCTGGCTTCCTCATCCTCTTTGACGAATCACATCAGATACGAGAAACAGGTTTGAATTTCAGGCATACTTCCTCAGAAAAAAAGCCCTACCAAGAGTAATTCAACTGATTTCCTTGATCTGGACAAAAAGGGGAATCCACATGGTGTTGGGAAAATTACAACATAGTTCCCTTCCTGTACTTACATGAATCTGTAAATATTTCCTGTGTGTACATACTCATTGTAATGTGTCATGTCTTTCGGCTTAACAATTGAGCACACCCAAATTACATGGTGACATTAACCGAAGGTAAAAAATAGAGCTGTTACTTGAATTAGAGGTACAGAGACCCCATAGAGTCCCACCATTGATGTGCAGTGACTCTAGAATCCACTTTCAAACGACATCCTTGGGCCGGTGGGATAAGTTGCAATTGACATTTTGCGCCAGACTTCAGAAACAAGCCTGGCTTTCATGCTGCTGTTTGAACGCTGGGGAAATCACTCGCAAAAGGTCACTGAGCCCATTTCCTTTCTTTCCTCTTCATGCATCTAAAGACCTGTAATAGCCCCTTTCAACTGCACTTCACTTTCTGGCAGACATATTCAAATGTCTATATAGGAAGTGAAAGATAGTATAGGTAAACCAAAGAGTAAAAAGGGAATGAGATAGCAGATTTTATTACAGCTTTACATTGTTTTACCATGGTTTCTCTAACATACAACTTCCCATCTTGAAATAAAGGACTTCCTGTTTTTTTTGTTTGCATTAAACAGTGCAGTATTCTTCTTTAACAGTTATTACATTAATAAAGCTGAATTGAAATCCTGAAGGCTGCTTTGCTTATTTAAGTGCCCTTTGCTTTTTGAAACGTAGGACTACTACATGTCTCTGAAGTCCTTCTTCTCCATCCCACAGGTGATCCAAAGAGAAAATGCCCCTCTGCTCCACAAATGTCTCAAACAGGTGCAGTCCACCACCCACACCAAAGTAATGGGATTTGGTGGCGACGTAGACCAGTCCATCTGGTGCCAGCAGCTTGTGGAGGGTCTTGTGTAGCGATGGGTAGTATGCAGTGTTGTAGATAGTCTCTGAGGTGAATATAAGGTCGTATTTGGGTTGTGGATTCTCCTGTTCAACCAAAGCAAGAAACGTGCACCAGTCACCGGAGAAAAAACGACACTTGGCTAGTAATGGTTGCTGGGATAGGTCTGTGGCTTTTTTCTTAGGTGGTGGGTTGCCATCTTTTTCATCTTCTTTGTCTTTCCCCTCCTTTTTGCAACCATCTTCCTCCTTCATTTTGCCCCTCCCATATTTGTCATCGTCACTGTCTACTTCATCCTCCTCCTGGCAGTTTATTATCACATTTGGCACTGTAAGCTGCTCAATAACTGTACTGTTATAATCTTGGAAGTGGACCTGTCTGGCTCCTCTCTGCAGAGCCAATATCCCCAACAGCCCCGCACCGCAGCCCAGATCCAAAACCGCCTTCCCCCCGAAGGTCTCTCCATCTTTCTCAATCAGCTCCAGAAGGTCGTAAGTGCACTCCCACACCTTCAGCCCTCCCTCGTACACGCCAGATATAAGATCAGACCCCTGCTCCGCGGTACGAGAGAGGATTTTCTCGTCGTCCTCTCTCTCCGAAGCAGTTTTTTCAAAAACAGTCTCATTGAGGAAGTGAAGAGGAGGGAGTGTTCCTATGGTAACTGATTCAGTGACAGCATCCCTAAGGATGAACTGTGGGTCAGACAGTGGAAGGTGCTCTTTGGCCTCTTTCAATGGCTCGGCAGGTTTGGTATCATCCTCCGTCTGAAAATACAAAGCAGTTTGCATGGGCAGGAAATAAATGTCTACAGCACACGTTATGTGGTTCAAGTTAAAAATATCATTTGGCAGTACAGATATATAATTCAGCAATACAATGAGGCTGTGTGGGCTGGAGGCAGAAACTCAGAGGACAGGAATGTCCGGATTAAGATGACCATGACCCTCACAGAGATCTCCATTGAATTGTATTGCTCATAAATTGTTGATGTGTGTCAATGAAGTAACAACATGAACACTGTTAGTTTTTTGAAAACAGTATTCTAAAACTAAATAAATTAAATATTAAAAAAGTAATTTAACATACAGCAATTTCTCACTTACAATTCCAAAGAACCAATATTAGTAGTGGTGATGTTGAAACACTGCTTTTTGAGGCTTTGATAACTACATTGAAAATAAGTCTAATCAACTCCAAGTTTCATTCAACTTGTCTTATGTGACATCTGCTGGTGAAATGAAGGTTGTCCGGCCAAATATAGGAACTTGAATTTAAACAAATATAAAAGAGTGCCGTTTGATTAGATGATAATTGGTTTACAACGATACTACAGGCAATGTACCTTATTTATTTGAATTCTACATGTATATAAGTAACTTAAATATCTATATTTTATAACAATGTGCTCCACTAATTAAGACTGATTGACTGGCTAATGATTTAGAGAATATTATGTGTGCAGTGGTCGGTCTAAATGTTAATGCAGTCCCATACACCAGAGCACAACAGCTTAGATTTTTATTTTCCTCTTAACTTTGATTGTATACAGTACACTAACAACTCAGTGGTGACTCGGGTACTGATCATACAATCACTATGAATGAGTTTTTATTGTCAGTCCTCTGCCCTGTGACGTCAAGGCTCGTGGCAAAGAGCATGTCAACCTACGCTCTCTAGTCTAGTGGATGCACACCTAACACCATTTACATTTTCATTGTTGTCAAGTTGGAATCATACAGCTGAAATGACTTGATAAGTGAATATGCATGAATGACTTTGCTGATTTGGTCAATTTAGGAGAGGTTTAGGGGGTTATTGAGCTATAGACCTAGATTTTTTTGTAGAATAAACTTTCACGAGCAATTATGAATGTCTAGTTTTGCTGTTTGCTTTGGTGCTGTCCTTGACTACTTGTACCCCTTTAATCGTTGGAATTTCTATAGATGTGATTGTGAATGCAATGTGGATGTTGTAATACATGTGTAATTAAAATAGAAGAAAAGGGTCTATAAGCCTAGTGCGAGGGTCCTGATTTCCCCCACAGTCCCAAGCCTTTATAAACTTATTCACGCCACTGCATGCACACATCATGGCACGTATTGTATATTTCTTTAAATATTGACCAAATCCTTGCCATCAGGTCAGTTTGCTGAAGTCCATACAGCACAACTTTGAGTACTTAATCTCGAACACATTGTTTGTGAGGTAATGTTACTCACAGATTTAGCTGCAGTCTCTTTTTTTTCTTTTTGCACTTTATATCCATCGTCTCCGTCCGGGTTGGTTGTTAGTGCTGGAAGGTCAAAGTTAAAGCAAAATGACATTATGACAGTCAACACAACACAGCTAGCTGTAGCTTAGAGGCTGGAAAGTTGGTATCCCCGCTCACTGCTGCTGGCTCCACATGGCAAGCAAGTGTATCTAAGCAGACAGCTGCGTGTAAGAACTACATATCCCAGAAGTCTGCCAATCAAAGTAACCGAAAACGTGTAACATTTCTGTTGTTATAGTGGATACATGGTTTCAAGTTAGGTTTGTTCGGGTTTAGAGCTAGAGGCATATGGTTGTACGAAATGCAAAAACAGAACTGGACATTGTTGAAGAAACTCTCCATATCTGAATGCCATTTCCTGACTCAGACTACCATGATGCCTTTCGATGTGATTCTTGCGCAGGCGCAGTTGCTCTGGATCAGGATTGAGATTTGTTAACTGTCACAGAAGGTGCCTGGTCCTGCTCTTCTTTGCTAATATGTGCCAATAATTCAATTTTTGCTTCCCTTTTGGAAAATGTCGACGGGTGGGACGGTTTCGGCAGGATTTTTGCCATCATAGAACAGTGAGTATTCTCTCTAAAAATATGCAATGTTATTAAATATCAAAACGCAGCACACAGCGTCGGGTACGCAAAGGAAAACATTGTGACATCCAGACAAAAGGGATTTGGGAGGCTTAGGTTCGCGTTGACAGCAATGTTTATTATGGACACATGATCATATGTTATCGCTTTCCAGTGACGATAGTTTAGCTAGTAATCTTGCAATGGCATTATAATAAACATTGGCACATAGCATTGCCGGATGGTGTCTAGCTGAATTTCTGCTGCTGAGTAAAGTCAACTGTACTTCAGCCCACTACCCCTGCCACCCCACCTCAGGTGACTGCTGCACCTACTCCACCAAACCCATACTCCACCCCGGCTGGAATGCAGCAAAGCAACTAGGCTTTTTGCATTTTTAGCCGCCAGCCCTTTTCATTGTTTCTTGTATGGTTACCTCTATATTTCTATTTTATTCACAAGCGAATGCTCTGGCTTGTTCCTCCAGCAGCTTGACCGTTAATTTGATGAGGTTAAAGTGTCAGGGGTCAAAGACAGATGTGCCGAGTGTTGAAAACAACTTAACTAAAGAAGGAAAGTTCTCTGGTCGAAGGTTCAGGCATTGGTAAGTTGGATACATAGAGGTGAAACTACTTCAATAATCTATTAACGTTTTGTGTTAATCACTTGTTAAACTTTTAGTTGGATTTTTAAAGTTCTATTACAGGTAATATCTTGGTATGGTATTGTTTATCAAACAAATAAAAAAACTGTCACCTTGGCTCTAAGACATTGCAAGAGATAATTTTCACTTTTTACATAGTATAGAAGACCAAACCATTAAATGGATAACACGAGAAAATATAAAGCAGTTAATGCAATAGTAAATGCAACCTTTCGTTCTTTATCTCCTTTAGTTAGGACCCCAGTCAAATAACACAGATCCTACACTACGCTAGTTGAAATCACTTTTCATTTCCATTTAGTTATTTCTTGATATATTATGCAATTAGTGTAACAATTTATTGAAATACATTTAATCATATTTGACTCATTTGAACTAAATCTGTTTATTTGATTGTTTATTTGTTTTCTTTATTTTATTTGCAGGTGCGTGCATATTGCAGATGCAGAATGCGGTGGTGTCCCAGCTCATCGTTCCACCTGCTGCGGTGTGTGCGGTTACGGACCTGTACCAAGAGAAGAAGAAACACGCTGCCACTGTGGATTAGGGAAATATGGGCTTACATCAGACTGCTGGTGCAGTCATTTTACTTTAACTCCCTCACAGACTCAGATGTGGTTTTCGACTCAGTCTTTGAGCCAGTGTTTTGGACTGTGGATTATATTACACGCTGGTTTGGCACGGTGAGTGTGTGTTTGTCTGTGTGCTTTCATTTAGTTTTGAGGAGTTTTTAAGTTTTTCTCTGAAGAAAGTTTCTGTGGGTGTCCCCTGTCTTTGTCCTACAGGTGTTTGTATTTCTCGTGGTGGTTCTGACCAGCTCCATCTTGGTGATAGCCTACCTGTTCGTCCTACCTATGGTCTTCCGCACATACTCCACAGCATGGATTACCTGGCACGTTTGCTATGGACATTGGAACCTGGTCATGATTGTTTTTAATTACTACAAAGCCACCATGACTCTCCCTGGGCACCCTCCCACAGTAAGATATTCACTTTTCTACATAACCACATGTAGCTCTACTAATCTGTGCTTGATGCTTAAATTAGTTATGCAACAACATGTCTTCTTTCAATTAGGTAAAAAATGATCGTCCATTTGTGTCAGTCTGCAAAAAATGCATCATTCCCAAACCAGCAAGAACCCATCACTGTGGTATCTGTAACCGGTGAGTCGATGTCTTTGTATTTCCTTAATTAATGCATGGTTTGTATATCTCATTTGGATCATGTTTTTTTACCACCATAGCTGTATTTAGATATTTTCACATATTTAGGAAAACTATTGTCTATATAAGTTTCAGACTAAATATCTTCTTTTTCCTTTGTAGATGCATTCTGCGAATGGACCATCATTGTCGTATCCTTTGTGCTAACATTATCTCAAATGTTTTTTGTTATTTGATAACAAATAAATGGTGGTTTTCCTTAATGTCACCATGTCAGCCTGGTTGAATAACTGTGTGGGCCATTTAAACCACCGTTACTTCTTCAACTTCTGCCTCTTCATGACCATGGGCTGTGCTTTTTGTAGCATCAGTGGCAGAAACCTCTTCCTGGATGCATACAATGCTATTGAGGTAAGATGCCCACACTCACATTGTTGGCCTGATCGGGGTTTTGCCCTGGCAATCATTGTTAGTTATTCGGTATAGGTCTGGTGCTTTTCCTCCATGCCTGGTGTCTTTCTCTGCGGGGCTTTACTGTTCCTTACTGACACTGCCTTGTTTATGTCTTTAACACTTTGGCTTTGTGTATGCGGGCTGTTCCATTAGCGCTTTAAACATACGGATGTGGAAAAGCCGGGGGTACCAGTGACAGGGATGGGAGTTCTCATAGGGCTCCTCCCACCTGGCCAGGTAGAGTCTCAAAGTGCACATAGAACAATTATAAATAAGTTTATGTATTATTATTTTGTAATTATCTAATATGTCCCCTTTTGCATTTTTCTCAAGACCAACTATCAGACAGCTGCACCTCCGTACACCTTTAAGGATAAGATGATTAATAAGAGCATCATCTATATGTGGGTGCTGACCAGGTAAAATATGCATTTCATTTTGCCACTTGCCATACAAAGGACAATGCTCTCTAGTACACAAGTTCATAATACTAACAACTTCAAATCAAGCACTGTGTATGCAGTTCACACTGAAAGAAATACAGTGTAAACAGTCAGTAGTTTATATTGTGACGTGGAAGTTGTCTAGTATTATCTTGGCAGAGGATCAAATTAAACGTTTCTTCTTATTTTAGCACTGTTTCCGTGGCACTGGGAGCTCTGACCTGTTGGCATGCAGTCCTCATATCCAGAGGAGAGACCAGCATTGAAAGACACCTTAATCACAGAGAAAAAGAACGGATGGAAAAACGAGGACGGGTCAGCATGTTAAATATCTTCTATATGAAAAACATTTAATTTGGGCGATCTTTTTTACATGATAGTCAAAAGTAAATTATTTGTCTTGTAAATGTTCTCTTTCTTTTTTCTAAACTGCTCTGCCAGGTTTACAAAAACCCTTTTGACTATGGAAGGCTAAATAACTGGAAAGTGTTCTTTGGCGTGCAGAAGAGAAGGTGCGTCCCCCTGATAATGAATCTCATGCAGCATCAATCATCAACGTTACCTTGCACTGCTTGTAACCTGTTCTGCTTTATCTTTGTCTGCAGTCACTGGCTCACACGTGTTCTCCTTCCCTCTGGACACACCCCAATTGGGGATGGTCTGACATGGGAGGCCTTCCCAGTCAAAAAGGACGTAATACCTGTATGACAGACTCTAATCAGGTATCCATGGAGTCTATTTTCAGCCGTTTTTGCTGTGTACAACCCACTCTGGTTTTCTGGCTGGTTGGCTTAAAGGATCCTTGCAGGGTGGCTTCACACAGCTGAAGAAATTGGATAATGTTAACCTCCAATACCTCAAAACGTACAGTGGCATTGCTCATGGTTGGACGGTGTACATTTTTCTACAAGTAAAAGGGCAAGGTATCATGGATGGTTTATTCTCTACTGGGTTTTAAAAACGGGTCTTTCTTGACTCTTAAGTGTTGTAAATACTGCAGAACCAAGAAAATGTATTATTTATCTGTATTTTGTACCTGTTCAGTTAATAAATCTTTATAAAGTGCTTTACTTAAACAATGTGTCACATTGAATATTCAGATATTACTTAAGATGGACATTGCATTTTATAACACATACATAAATTGCATGTAAAAAATAACTGGTAAATAACGGTAACATGTTTTTTTTGCTGAAGAGCAAACAAGCTACAGCTCAGGAGTTATGTCACACTGTTGCTTACGCAGACAGACCCAGAAACATGCTGCTGGTAGAGAGGGATTTTTGAGATGCAGATTTGTTGTGTGGATTCATATGAATGTTAGATCAGAAAACAAGCAGTAAGGATGCACACAGATGAAAACATAAGAATAGAGGAGACGTGAAAATGTTCCCCTGCTAATTGAGCAACATCCGGCTGGCATTAAAATGATTCCAAGAAAATGTATTTTATATAATATTTAGCATGTTATGCATTTGATAAGAAGGCAATCAAGCAAATGAATGGTGAGCGTGTCAGCTACAGGGTGGTGCAACAAAAAGAGAGGGCAGATAAAGGGAGAAAAGATTAAGGGAGGGTAACAGATTTGAGCCGGTTTGCAACCCTCTTCACGCTGCCACCACTCATCACATCCCCCACTCTGTCTGAAACAGACTTCACACACACACACACACACACACACACACACACACACACACACACACACACACACACACACACACACACACACACACACACACACACACACACACACACACACACACACACACACAGAGCTGTCAGTATTCACTCCTCCAGCAGATGTCAGTGTTCATCATGACAAGGTTGGACAAAAAGTGTACAGTGTGTTTCCAGGATAAAGATAATTGGCAGTAATAAAAAAAAAAAACATGTTTTTAGACGTTTTCTATAATACGGAAACATTAGCTTTTATTTGTGATAATCAAACGGAATACTGTTCATTTATTTTGAACTGTACCTGCATGGAGTTACATGGTTGTGATTGCATGGACACTCAGTGTGACAATGACATGCTATTATGAATGCTTCGTATGGATTTATAATGGCCATCCCAAGGTTTGGCTAAGCATAATTGATATGGTGCAAAAACATCCATCAAATTCTTTATTATCATATGTACAAAAGATACATTGCAGTCACAGGCTCCCCAACAGTGCAACATGCAATTAAGACATAGAAAGAAATATAGAATTCAAGTATTGTAACTAAACAGTTTAATTGACACGATGGTACCATTAAAGTTGCAGGAATATGTAAACTATTTGTAAGATAGACTAAGCTAAAACAGAATGTAGAATTAAAGACTGTCAGTAGTGCATTTTGTAATAGTATACACTGTTCTGGATTGTATACAGATATGTGCTGTGAACATAAGAAATGATTGCATATTCCTGATTTTATTTAATTAAAAAAAGGCAAAAGTGTATTCTGTCTGTAAAGAAAAGTAGCTTAACACTGACAATCATACCAGGATAAATACTCCCACCTTGCATTTCAGAATAAAAGCCCTGACAATAGGTTTCTTTACAAACATGTATTGCTCAAAAACTCCTAACATTTAATTAAAAAAAATGTATTATCACCAAATGTATCGTAGTCACAGTTTTTATTTTTTCAAAACATTTTTTCCAATTATCTTCCTTTGCTATTCTGAAGGGGTAATTTCCCAGTTTCCGGTTTTATTTTGATGAGCTCGGAACTCAGAGCTAAAGAAGGATAACATAATTCGTTTAAACTGCGCATGTGTGTTGACTGGAGGATTTATTCTAGATCAGTGCCAACGGATTGTGCGGGTGATCTGCATTCATTTTTTCCCGGGGATAAAACGGAAATTGATGGCTGGTTTCGTTGTTTTTTATTGTTCAGGAAGCTGTTGATATTGTCCTGAGGCTCTGAAGGGCCTGACTGGTCCCCAGCCCGTCAGCTGCCTCAGTCTGCTGTCAAACGGCTGCATCTCCTGCTGATCGTCGCGTCAGGCTGATAACTTCACTTGGAAGCAAGTTTGGATGTGGCAAGCAAACTGCAGACGAATGCATAATTTAGCAGACTGGATTTCCGGTAGGCAAAATTATTCACATATTTATAAATAAAAAAAAACTGACATAGCAAAACGCATGGGGTTACGCAGCCTACAAAATAACTCCCATCGCATCGCAATAGCCTACATGCTAAATTACAAACAGGGTAAATCAATTGTAATAGAAGCCTACATCAAATCAAATCAAATCAAATCAGGTTTTATTTATATAGCACATTTAAAAGCGATTTTTGGTCGAGCCAAAGTGCTGTACATGTAATAAAAACACATTACTACAACCACATAACATTATGTGAATGGAAATTGAGGGCAACAGCGACATTAGGTTCAGGCTCGTGCTCCCTGTCAGCTGGCAGTACACGTGACGTAAACATCGCAGGTTGTCTGACCTCGTAACAGGAACAAGGAGTGCTGAGCTGTCATTATTCCCCGATAAATGATGCTCTATATATAGGCACTTAATTCTAAATTATTATTATGAACTGCTTTTTATCGCCCTTAATCACATTTTCAAAGCATTTACAGGAAATGTAGATACTATGATATTTGTTCTTGCTGTTTATTGTAGGGACGGTGATGGGGGGCTGTGTGGGCAGGAGTAGGATGGATGGACAAGGGAGTGCCCGAAGCTCGACAAGAAGCAAAAAACGTGGAGGTAAGAAGCTGGAACACATTGGACTCCAGCCTGTCAGTTTCATAAACAGGCCTAACTTCATATTTGTGTGAATGCATAAGAAACACAAAGTTATTTTAGTAGATGATATTATGAAACCAGAAGCTGTGAATAAGAGTGTTGTTAGAAGTGAGATAAAAGGTTGTGATAATGTGAGTTTAAGAGAGCCTGCAAATATTCTTATAAAGGACCAGCATGATTAAATTAAATTAGATTATTTGTTTATTTAGGGGCATTGCTTCTTTGATGATGTATTGAAATGCAAGTTACACAGCAGACTTTTTTGATACACCAGACACACATAATAATATCAGTCACTTTGTCAGAAACAGCCAAATGCTGCAATCTTTATGAGAATATGTATCATTAACAATTCATGTATTTGTGATAAAATGCAGGTTGGGGGTTGGATTCCCAACTACACCCATGTTGCATTGACATCTTCATCAGTCTGAGAGCTTACTGTCTCAGGTGTTAAATATTTCAAAGTTTGACCTACTTAGTGCATGATTTGCTTTGATTTGACCTGCTGAAAAATATATGTACATGCGCTCTCAGATCATGTTCAAAGACTTGTATATTTGTGAGATGCAACCACAGTAGGCTTCAGTAATGAACTGCCTGGCTTTTTGATAATGAAGATAAACCATCACATGTTGAGCCCACGACAGTATGCTAGCTTCACCTTCAGACTTTAACAGACTGACAGGGTTTATTGTTTTTTTAATAGGTTTAGCATGTTGCTTTGGGTATTTCTATCCTCTAAATAGAGCTGATAGGATTAGGCCTGTTGTGTAAAGAAGCTACCTTCTGGCTAGGACACTCAACTTTCCCTCTTTCCATGAACTGATCCTGGGATATTTTGAGGTTGCATGTTGTTGGGAGGGATATAAGTGAAAGGTAGTGTGGACATTAAGTAATTGGGCAGTTGTATCAACAGAAAGCGGAGCTCTTATTTAGAATTTGCTCATTGTGGCAAAGCAGGTTGTTGTCTCTTCAGTTGATCTGCAATCAGCTGGTTCCTCAGGTTGGCGTCTTAAAGGCATTAATGCAGACTTTTATCTGACTCACATCAAAGCTCAGAGTAAGATCAGCCATGGGAGTACCAAACTCCAGGGAATACAACTACTATCACACTCCAAACACACCCTTTAGGATTATGCTGAAAAGTAAGTATAGACTTTTGTGTGGCCTGAAAGAAATGCCATCATGTTTTCATGTTAGCGCTGTGTTTACACTGTACATTGCCATGATTTCTCCCAGAAGGTTTTGTGTACTGTATGTTGAGATCAAGATTGTATGCACTGTCGATACTTTTGTTTTTGCATTGATGTTTTTAGGGTAACAGGCAATGTTTGCTGTTGATGAAAAATGAACATAAGGCAAAACAAATTTAAAAAAAAAAGAGAAAGAGGTCATAACAATTTAATTAATAAACTCCAAATTGCTGCCTCTGACTGAAATGCATGCTTTCACAAAGAGGTACGTGGATGACTTTGGGAAATGTGAGAATTAGTTTCACCTTGGGAGGGTTGCAGTGCTGATGTTTAGGAGAACACTTTGAAACTAAAAAACTTATTTGACCAACTATTTGGATTGTCAATCCTTTGTTAAAGTACTATGTCTTGCTGTTTTATATTAAAATTGTAATTATTGCCGTTGGGTTTTTGACATTTAAAACCTCACCATGGCCTTTTTAAACTGGGATAAACATTTTTCACCTTTTTTCCTTTTTTAGACACATTTTTACTTGTTAAAGGTGGGGTAGGTAATTTTGGAGAAACCAGCGCGAGTGCGCTAGAATTTGAAAATACACAACCGGAAAAAATCTGCGACTTCCTTACAGAGCCCCTCCTCCAACACACACGAACGCGCACATGACCAATGAGGGCACGAGATAAGTTTGTGCACAGATGGAAGGCTGACAGGCAGGTAGGCCATCCGGTTATTTTAGCCGGGCCGGCTAAAATGATTGGTCGTGCTTTTTACAGTATTACGGCTTCCACAGATGACATTTTTTTATGGATTTTTTGTCAAAGCACTTAAGATATTCATTGTTATCGATGTTAAAGGTGGGGTAGGTAATTTCGGAGAAACCAGCTCGAGTGCGCTGGAATTTGAAAATACACAACCGGAGAATAGCTGCCACTTCCTTACAGAGCCCCTCCTCCAACACACACGAGCGTGCACATGACCAATGAGGGCACGAGATAAGTTTGTGCACAGATGGAAGGCTGACAGGCAGGTAGGCCATCCAGTTATTTTAGCCGGGCCGGCTAAAATGATTGGTCATGCTTTTTACAGTACTATGGCTTCCACAGATGACATCTTTTAATGGATTTTTTGTCAAAGCACTTAAGATATTCATTGCTATCACGATGTTAAGAGCATTCCATGGAATATAACAAAAAGTGTATCTCGAGCCGGTTTCTCAAACTTACCTACCCCACCTTTAAGAGCATTCCATGGAATATAACAAAAAGTGTATCTCGAGCCGGTTTCTCAAACTTACCTACCCTACCTTTAAAGGTGGGGTAGGTAAGTAACATCCCGATAGCAATGAATATCTTAAGTGCTTTGACAAAAAATCCATTAAAAAATGTCATCTGTGGAAGCCGTAGTACTGTAAAAAGCACGACCAATCATTTTAATCAAATCAAATCAAATCAAATCAGATTTGATTTTAGCCGGATTTGATTTTAGCCGGCCCGGCTAAAATAACTGGATGGCCTACCTGCCTGTCAGCCTTCCACCTGTGCACAAACTTATCTCGTGCCCTCATTGGTCATGTGCGCGTTCGTGTGTGTTGGAGGAGAGGCTATGTAAGGAAGTGGCAGATTTTCTCCGGTTGTGTATTTTCAAATTCTACGCACTCGAGCTGGTTTCTCCGAAATTACCTACCCCACCTTTAAGGTTAAAAATATACCGACACATACATTTATTATAAAAACAATTCTACATTTCATCACAACTTACAATATGAATATTATAACTAGTATTATTAGTAATTATTAAAAAACAAAAACAATGCCTGTTTTGGTATATTTTAGTTTAGTTTGTATATTTCCATCCGTCACAAATGTTTAAACTCGAAGAAAACACACCCAGCTTAAATTCCAGGTAGCTAGGCTTACAGCTGTCAAAGCTTTCTGTCACTGTACACTAACAGTCATGTTTACTTACTTCCTTGCAAGGAGGGTGGTAAAACATTCTTCAAATAATGCAGGTTGTCATCCCTAATTACACATCCCTCTCATATGTCTTGTTTCGTGTGTTATGTGCTATGGGGTCATGACTTAAAAATATCCCAATAACCCTCTGAGCTAAAAGACTGTAGACCAAAACCCATGTTAATGCAATTATGTAATATTAATAACATGGGATCAGATGAATATAGAGTATAATCTCTACAGCAGTTTATTTTTTTTCTTGTAATTATAGCTTTAAACTGAGAAAAAAGGTCATCTCTAAAGGTCATGGGGTCCCTTTTACCTTCATATGGTGGCCTGCATTGTTAATGACAGAAAAATAATTTAAATCGGTGCATATTAGATGATGGGAATGGCCCCTCATGTCTAACTTAATTGACAAATGAAGACTTGTATTCTTGTTATGCAACATTTTGCATTAGAACATATATTTGGCCTACTGTAGTTTGCAGAAGTTATGAAATCATGATTGATTTGTAGAAGCTTTGTTTTTATCCGTGTGCTTGTTGTTTACGACTTAGGTTTGAGTCTTTTTGCGTGCTTTCATTGGCCAGAGAGTGCTCATCTCTCCAACCAATGCCTTATGGGATGGGTACAGATAAATCCTGTTATGTAGAACCTGATTACTGCCTATAATCCACTGACGTGTGCTTGTCAATGTGAGTGCATGGCAGTGCACATGCACATTTTCGTTACCAGCCACTGCAGTAATCCACAACACTATAAATAATCCCTTTTTTCTTTGAATTAAATGTACTTTCTTGGTATGCTGGTACACTGGATGTAACATATATGACAGCATGGACCAAACACTAAAGATCTGTCAATGAAGGATTCCTTATCTGACCTCAATGGTATGAAGATGACCAATAACACAATAAAGTTATAGAACATTCAAAACATGTAGCATCGATAATTTATCTTATTATATTGAGAAATGTTTGTTCTTCTCATAATGACTAGTGTTTATTTTTCAGTAATGATGCTCTTTAGATAGAGATAGATCATGTGAAATGTTTTTTGGTGATTTACATTTGTGCCGAAAGATATAGCTCATTTTAGTAATTGTTTTAAATTCAAACAATGTTCTTTACACTCACTCTTGCCTGAGGTGATGGTAAAGAGATCAGACATTTTTCCTGGCACCTTTTAAAAACTAAAGTGTCCAGCAGAGCATGGCCTTGATGATAATGGGGTGCTATCTCAAATCAGTCCTGTATTTTCTTTCAGGACGCAATGAGCCCCTTAAGAAGGAGCGTCCAAAGTGGAAGTGTGAGTACCCGATGACAGAGGGCCAGCTGAGGAGTAAGAGGGATGAGTTTTGGGACACGGCTCCTGCCTTTGATGGACGGAAAGAGATCTGGGACGCACTCAGAGCAGCAGCCCTGGCTGCAGAGGGCAATGACCTGGAGCTAGCACAGGCTATAGTAGATGGAGCCTGCATCACTCTGCCACACGGTATGAAACCACTCACACATACACACATGGCCTTTCAGATGTAGAAACGTTCTTTATGCAGCTATCAATTGTAATAAGCCGTACATGTCCTGGAACCTCCAGCGCGGATGCATAAACTTACTGTAATAATTCTCAAAATGTCAAAGGATAATTTCCTGAATCCCATGCATCAGTTGTTCAGAGATTACTGCTGTAATAGTTACATAATGGTCCCAGTGCTGCGTGACCACTCTGCATGGATTGGTGCACAAAAAGCCATGGCTGAGAGTTAAATGGAAAAAAACATTTATCTGCTAACACTCAAGAGTGTTTGTGCTTTTATGCTTTTAGTTCAAGGACATTTGTATTATTTATGTAGAAGTGATGTAAGTAAATATATTGTCAATGTCATGGCAACCTACGTCCTGTGCATTATTGAAGTAGAAAAGGGTATCAGTCTAAAATTAGTTGATGTTACTTGTAGAAATATTTTGGTGGTTTATGTTGTCCATTTATCCTTCAACAGGCTCTCTTACAGAAAGTTACGATGAACTGGGAAACCGCTACCAGCTCCCAGCCTACACCTTAGCCCCACCTGCCAACCTCATCTCTGAAACGTCCAGTGAGTGCCAAGTCTCTGACTCCTCACAAAAACAAGCTCAACCCGCTCCGTGCAGAGAAGAGTTCCAGCTGCGGGTGCGATTGTCATCAGGTAAGACATCCTGAGTATGACCTATAATTAAATATATATTATGATCTTTAAATATACAGAACTACATGCTATGCTTGCATGCATGTGACATTTCATCACATCTTAGACTAGAGACTGATTTATAATTCATAGCCTTGATGTCAACCCTGTTTATACCTTGTGGTATCCTTAGGACAGGATGTGCGTCTGACAGCCAGCTTGGCCGACTCCATCGCTGAGCTCAAGAAACAATTGGAAGTAGAGGAAGATATCGCCGTGACCCGCCAGAGGTGGTTCTTCTCTGGGAAGCTCCTGATTGACAAGACTCGCCTTCAAGACGCCAAGATCCAGAAGGACTTTGTGGTCCAAGTGATCGTCAATATGGACCCTCCAGCCATAGCTAACTGAGGACTCAGAGTGAGTCAGTGGGCTACAATGAAAAGCAATTAATAAAGGAAGTGCCAGAGAGGGGGGGCAGGAATAGGAGTAGCGATTTGAATAATTTTCCAGTTGGCACTGCTGTGGAATTTTGTGTACATTTTTATACAAGAAATTATTGCTTTTATATTGCTCCTTTTTGTATTTATTTCCTTTTTCCAAATGAAGTAAGAATATTGAAAAGCACTGAAACACTTTAGATTAAAAGTAGTGTCCTAGGATGCTCTGTCTGTCTGTCTGTCTGTCTGTCTGTCTGTCTGTCTGTCTGTCTGTCTGTCTGTCTGCCTGTCTGCCTGTCTGCCTGTCTGTCTGTGTCTCACTGTCTGTCTCTCTGTTCGTGTGGACATCAACTCAGTTCTATTGTTTACATGGTCCCCCCTCTTGTCAGGTGTGTTTGTAATTTTGCTTAAACTGAATACTGTTCAACTGGGGCCAGGGTCCAAATGAGGGAAATACAATCCCCTTCTTCTTTTCTATATTTAAAGATTTCTGTCATGCCATTTGAGAAGTAGAGTAAGGGTGGCAGAACATTTTGGACAAACCGAAACATGTAAATATCAGTTTCCATATGTGTTGTTTGGTCATGTTACAATGTGCACACTTTATTTTCATACACAACTGTATATTTTTATTAAAGACACCGAATGTATGAAGGCACCTTTCTAAAAGGTAATACGAGATGGCCAGGTTTGTTTTTTATTTCATCCCTCCAAACTAAATACTGACGTTTTATGTAAAATAGGATGCTCACTGTACTTGAATAACTTATCAATAAATATTGTGAATTTAAAATCATTCTCTGCTTTCATGATTATTAAGTCGTCACAACTTATCCTAGAGCATTGGTTCCCAACTACACAGGTAGATCTGGGGCATCACATTAATATTTTCCTTTTTCTATGCATGCTGGTTACTAACATCTGTAAATCCTTCAAATGACAATATAAGAAGAAAATCTGGTCAAACTGTTCAAACCTCATGATCACAACAAGGCCATACATTTTGATGTGAAGAAGTGTAGAAATTGATCTGTGTATGGGGTCACACGTTAAATTCACACATTTTATATGTGGAAAGATAAACATAAGTCTTATTGCGTTATTGTGTTGGTGTCAATCCCTTTATTTTAATGACAAGGACATTATACACAAAGTGATGTGATGGGGAAAAGCAACAAAAAAGTCAGTCAGAGGAAGAGCAAAAAATAGAAAGACAAGAGACATTAAAAAAGGACTGAGATATGGATGTAAAAATATGGTGGCCTTTTTGTTTATTATAATACATTTGACTTGAAATTGTGTGTGCTGTTTAGGTAATGTATAACTAAACGGCGCCATCTATTGGCTAAACAACTGCATGTCCAGGCCAGACACGTGACGTCACTTGGTAAGCGACGGCGTCAGCTGCAGTGCAGACAGTTGGGGTAACGTGATTATTTTCAACCCCGAAAATGGTCAAATCAGGGAAACTTCGATCTGGGACGGGGACTAAACTAAAACGATGGAAGAAGGGACACAGCAGCGACTCAAACCCGGAGACGAGTCGCTTCCGACAAGCTGCAAAAAGCCGCTTCTTCAGCCGACCCTCCGGTAAGCCTCCCGTTAACATTACACGTGGGTCCGTGGCTACTGCTAACTTTAGCTCGCGTCAGCCATTTAACTTGTAGCTAGCTTTACATAAAATGCCATTAAGTGTTCATCATCAACCTCAAAATAGTTGACAATTGAGAACCTATCTAAATATCTTTCTGTCTTTTTCCTTTGATTATTTTGTAATAACACTCAGTTAAGTGTTTGGTTATTCATGATAACAACTGCTGTGTGTTTGAGACACATGTTTAACTGTCGATAGACAGATCAATATTAATATTGCTGATGTCATACAGGCAGCACCTACAAAATGACAGTATTGACAATAAAAGTGAAGATAAATTGTTAATAATTGGCCAGTGACGTACAGTTTTACCATGGGTTACTTTTTTGTATTTCTGCATTTATTTACAGTATACAACAACTAATATGTGTATCTAATTCTGTTGCATTTTAACAGTCTTTATGATAGACTTAATTTTTAGCATTATTATTCTTATTACTTTATTTATTTGTATTGTAGAATCCCTGTAGTAACAATTTATGTCATAGTTATATGAGCAAAATGCACATGATTTTACATGATTTCTATTTTTCATATATGTTTTCTGTTTTTTATATACTGTTAATGTATTAATGATTACTCTGAAGTTTGGACTTAAAGCTGTAACTTGAGGGAGTTTGTGTAGAAATTATAAAATTTTATTATACATAATGCCTAGATTCCTTGGTACAAACATTTTTTACCATCATATTTAATATCAATTTTTACAATTTGCTGTTAATGACTGCCAGAAGTAAAAAATAAGGTTTAAAGTCCACTGTGATTTAGGGGTTTATTGCCATCAGTCTAATCCTCAGCCAAATAAATGCATGATTCTTTGAATCAATGTTATTTACAAACCTCAAAATGTCTTGTTAAATATCGCTGTATGTGTATCATCATTCATCCTCATTGTCCTAAAATGTGGGGGCAAAATATATAAAAGCGTTGTGTATGTGGAAGTTGGCTTAATGTAATGGTATGTCTCTCCATCTTTTTACCCCACAGGAAGGAATGACCTAACAGTTGATGCTCTGAAGCTGCACAATGATCTGCAGGCTGGTCCGCTGGAGATTGGTAGCCGTAAGGATGCCCGCATGGAAGAGGAGCCAGATGAGGCGTTTTCAGATAGGACGTCAGGAACCTTCCTCAGCGGCCTGTCCGACTGCTCCAACCTGACCTTCAGGAAGGTGCAGCGCTACTGGGAGTCCAATTCAGCTGCTCACAAAGAGGTAGGTACTCCACTGATGGTACATTCACACACAACTCCATCAACAAATATCTTTATTAGGGTAACTTGTAATGAAAACTTGTTGTTTTGGTGCAGTGAAAAAGCCTTTTTACATTAGGAGGAAAAGCTAAAACATTGAGGGTAGCTTTGAAAATGTATTGATGACATTTGTAAGAGTTGATTTAATGGTACAAACACAATATTTTCAAGTGTATACTTACAGATTTTCCTTGCAGATCTGTGCGGTACTGGCAGCTGTTACAGAGGTGATCCGTAGTCAAGGAGGAAAGGAGACTGAAACAGAGTACTTTGCTGCTTTGGTGAGTGCTGCTTTAAAAGGAACATTTACAAAGACATAACCACTAACTGTATGTGTTGAAGGTTACAATAAACCTTGGTGTTGTATCTGAAAATGCAGCGTGTTTGTGCTTATGGTAGATGACCACTCTTGAGGTCGTGGATACGACAGAGTCTCAGGCTGCAGTGGCGTATCTCCTCAACCTCGTCATGAAACGGTAAAACTTTAACAACTTTTCTTGCCAAAACAAAACTCCCATTCACGTTAAGGCTAATGAGTTATGACTTGAAATGATTTTCATCTGATTGGTGTTTCGTTCTTCAGGGTTCCGGCTCCAGTACTCATGTCTAAGTTCTCTGACACCACCAAGGCTCTGATGGACGTCATGTCCAAACAGGCCACGTCTGAGTCTGCCTCTGCGCTCAGATGGGTGAGTACATTTCTTTCTATTTATTTTTTTATATTGTTCGATGATGAAAACTGCAGCATAGATTGAGTTTGTCATTACTGCATTTCTAGATCCTGTCATGCCTGGCCACTTTGCTGAGGAAGCAGGATGTATCTGTCTGGACTTACCCGTCTACTCTTCAGGCTTACCACGGACTGCTCAGCTTCACAGTGCACAGCAAGCCTAAGGTCTGTCTCACAAGCCTGCTACTAAACACCTCATAAGTATTGAAAAGTGAATAAGAAGCTAAAAATGTACAATTATTTTACATTTCATTTTCTGTCCATTGTGGCTCCCAGGTCCGTAAAGCTGCACAGCAAGGAGTCTGCTCCATTCTCAGAGGTAGCGACTTCCTGTTTAGAGATAATGCCCCGACCCATCACCCTGCAGCAGGAACCACAGCCAAGTTCTGCATGAAAGAAATGGAACAGGCAGGAGGTAAGACAAACATAATTTGTTTTCTTATTGTGGGATATTAAATAGTTTAAAATATGCTTTTGAAAATTGTCCTGTATATTGTAGTTTAAGTATGTTTCTTACCCCTCCAGGCAGCAAAGAGGACACCACCACTCTTCATGTGCTGGGTCTTCTGAAGGAGTTGATGGGGACCTTTCCTCTGGGAGCGGTCAAGTCCTGTTGTGAGACTTTGCTGCGAGTGATGACACTCAGCCATGTGGTGAGAGCTCAAAAACATGCATAGGTTGTTGTTCTTATCATGGATACAAAAAAGTAGTGTCTAATGGCGCAGTTCCACTACAGCACGGAGCTCGCTTTAAGCGTGCCGTGTCGTGCCGTGCCCGTTTTTGGTTGCGCTTCCACTAGGCCTAGTTCCGGCCCGGGGCCACTTTTCACGTCTTTTCTGGCCCGAGAAAATTGTGGTTCTATCGAGGCCAACAAACAGGGCTGAGTCGGGCTGAGTATGCTAAACTAGAGAGAGGAGCGCTGGCAAGGGGGCTACAACTACAACAAGATGGACATATTTGACCGTGATTTAATTGTAATACACGTTTCAAAATGATGCCGAAGTAACAACATACTGATACCGGTTAGTAAAAACCATGAATTAATGCTTTGTCAAGTCTGCAGACAGACGGCAGGCGAAAAACCTTTTAAAATACGTGTTTTTCTAGATGGAGATTGGCTAAGCTAACGCAGTATATGCTCCGACCGTCCACACTCACAACAACGGCCTATACAGACATAAATAAAGCAGCGACTGTATTCACCATGACACAGGCAGTCTGTGGTTTGTACTTGTTTAACTTTTGTCGAGTTTCTGAACATATATAAGGAGCTGTGAGCTCTGAGTGCTAACAGCTAACGGCTGTGTTGTGTTTCTGGAGTTCTCATTGAAGATGACGTCACGGCTCCGCCTACAGTGCGTTACTATAGTAACTACCCCAGTTCCTAAACTGTAATGGAAGCGCAGCATGAAGTGAGTCGGCCCTGTTAAGGCCAAGCCGTACCGAGCCGTACCGAGCGTGGCCGAGGCCGACCGTGTAGTGGAAATGTGCCATAACATGGCTGCTATTCTTCTGTCCATAGCTGGTGACCGCGAGTGCCATGCAGTCCTTTCATAGGCTATTCAGCGGGAAGCCGAATGCTGCAACCCTCTCACCAGAACTCAACGCACAGATCATCACGGTGAGAGAATAAAACAAACATGGTAAATGAATAACACAAAATGTGGTTTTGAAAGCTAATATGCCATTTCCCATCGCCAGGCTCTGTACGACTACCTGCCCAGTGAGAACGACCTGCAGCCGCTGCTGGCCTGGCTCGCTGTCATGGAGAAAGCACATGTTCACTTGGCAGGGTAATACAGTGTTTTCTCATAGTAGCATCACGTTTTCTTGTTGTTGTAATTGTGTGTTTTCCAGTCAGATTGGAAAGATAGATCAACAGTTTGTGTGTCTTTGTGTAGTTTGCAGAGCTCTTTGAGTTTGGGTCACCTCCCTCGCCTCTTCTCTGCTGCCATGTCCTGCCTGCTGTCGCCTCATACACAGGTGGCTTCTGCAGCAACCAATACACTAAAGGTAAAGACATTATCCATCCACATTGAGTAACTCAAGTTGACAAATCAGTTGTTGCTTTTCCTTTATTTAACAGTGTATGCAGGGGCCATATTTGATGACATTATGTTTATATGTTTCAGACTTTGCTGACTGAATGTGTAGCCCCTC